CTACTTTACTGGTCGCCGCTGCGCTGTTTAAATCAATAGTGATCAGCTGTCTTAAATACAGCCCACCAATACCTTTTACCATTTTAGCGCCAGGCCCTTTGTCTCGAAACAATCAACGCAATAAGGTTTCGCAACAAAATTCCCCAAATTCAAGGCGGCTGTCTTGTCGGCTAGATATTTTTAGGATATAATTAGATTTAGATGTAGATCGCATGCTTAGTTCCTATCTAATTTAATAAACTTTCAAGCAGCATATAACTACTAGTCCTTTTCTCTATCTTAGCACTACCCTACTAGTGCTCGTCTTTTAGCTGTGATAATGGGCAATAAAGCAAAGGTGGAAGTCTTCCAGGCAGAGGTTAATGAAAATGACCAGAGTTTCTTCCGCCTTTATGTAGATGGTTAAGCCATCAAATATCTCACTGTTAAACCTGGTTTGTACAGCGCAGAGGATAAGTGTTTTGGTCTGTTCCTTCTCTCTATTCTCCTAGATTTTCCCCTAGGAGATTGGAATGATGGCCTGGTGGCTAGAGATATAAATAACAGTTAACTATTCTTTGCTTATACTAGTTGGTCTTAATTCCCTTCCATTAGACACTGGTGGCATGGAATCTTCATTAATTACCTGGATATTGAGGTAGGAGAGAAGCTGAGAATAGGGATCTATAAAGTCATATACCTATACTTTAATACAGTTATCATCGCCAAGTTTGCTTGTTTCGAGTGGGAGATCTTATACCTAGAAAATAAGACCGTTGCCTACAAATGGATGATGGCCATGAAATTAGACCATAGTTTTTCAGCTACTTAACTAAAGGAGATTGAGTAATTAGATTCTTAATAGAATGTATTGCTGGTGCTTGGCATACCTACCTAAGTAATATTGCTGTCTGCTAACAGACATTGAGGTAACTATACCAGCTAGGTATTCTGCATGGTAATATAAATTAGTTTTAACTTTCTCATCTATAATACAAAGATAGTGCTCATTAACTTTGACACTGCTCAGAGATATGATGACTAGGATGCACTTTATAAGGAGTTTAAAACTTTGCCTAGCTATCTATAGTATACTTCTAGGAAAGGAGGCGGTGGGATTCTTTATGCTGTGCCAAATTTGTCATTTTCCATGTTGGCATTGTGCGCATGTGGACTTTATAGTTGGGCTTTTCATTTAGAAGCTACTGGTGACTTAGAAAGCTCTCCTTCAGATGCAAGAGTCTGATATCCAGGCTCTATTCCACTCTCATCAGTGGGTGCCATTCAAGACATGGGCCTAAAGTATCATAAATTGCCCATTGGCGCTGCTGACACGTAGTGTACTTATGTAAAAGGCCTTAACTGTCCTCTAGCTGTGCTCCCCTCTTTGCAGCCTTAATTTCTTATATTATAGTTAGTTTAATCTAACTTTCTGCTCTTGCCCAGGGGTCTCTGTAATATTAGCTGTGCTTGACTGTCCAGCTGTGTTTTTGATAACTGTGGAGTGGTGATCACTGGAAATTTACTGGAGAATAGGATTAGATAAATCCTGAGGCACTGCATCACTAATAATTTAGCTAAAACTGATTTGGCTGTTGTTATGTTGGCGTTTACAAAACCAATAAACTAGAACACGCGCTCATCTACTCAGATATCTTCAAAGACATTACCGCGGTGCTAGTGGATGAAGGGTTGGCATCCCATCCAGCATGCCACTTGTTTCTGTCCATCTGCTGGTGTATCACTGGCATAGTAGGTTCAGTAGTTTGGCATGATTATTTTCAGGAACCTTCGCCGCAAAAAATGGTTGGCGTCGCTGCTGTTCTTTTGAAGCAACCTAGGGAGCAAAGGCGTGGTTAGAAATGCAGGGGTCGTTATATGCACGTGATCATTCATGTGACTGACCACTAGGAACAAGAGCTTGATCACAAAGGCACAGAGATGGGAAGCAAACCTAGGGCAACAAGGTTGACTCAGATAATTGGACGCTAGTCTACCCGTCCATATGGATAGATAGATTGTTGCCAGGCACTCAAGTACCAATGCACAAATCATGGATGTTGCATTTTACTGGTAGATGAGTTGCGCGCGCTTAGACTTTCAGCTTAATTAGTCTTCGGTGGGTGCCGCGGGGGTTGACATCACACATGTCTCAGCTAATTAACCACCTATCCACACCGCCAGCAGCAACCCTCTGTTTTAAATAAAGTTTGGAGCTTAATTATAAGAAATAAATTGACTGTTCACTTATTCCTTTACAGGCCCGCCTGGTTTTCTTATAAGTTAAGACTGCTAGACTATTACAGAGCCTGTTTTATCAACAGTTTTCATTAAGTATGGCTGAGGCTGTTAGATTAGCTTTTAGTTTAGTTACTCTGGCTGGATTTACTTTTCAAGCTAGCAAATCTCTTCACCAAGTCCTTGAAAGCTTCAAATCTATGAAAAGGATTGTTCGTGAACTTCACTATGAACTTAATGCTCTAAACTAGGTCATTAAAGAGCTGTAGAAAGTAGCTGTTGATTATAAAAAGGACCTTTTAACCTTAAAACTCCTGCTGTTATGATGTGGGAAAATATACCAGGAATTCAAAGATGTCATTAAAAAGTGTGCTCCTTGTTCAGATGGCTAATAAATAAGAATCATTGAATAGGCTAGGCTGCAGTATATGGGTGGCAACATTTCCAATCTTAAAGCAACTCTATTGGGCTATAAAGCAACTATCAGTATCACCCTTGGCGGTGCAATGTTGTAAGTACATCTATCAAGTGCAAGAATTATTACTAGGGCTGATGGTGACCAGTCGCCAAACTACTGTTATATTAAATGTTCTCAAAGAGTATAAGCAAATAATAGCTAAGACAATATCAGACCTTCAAGATCACTTGCTAGATCTTAATAGCAGGGTATAATCCCTTTAATGGAAAAGATCTTTCTAAAGCGCGCCCAATGAGCTTAAAGAGATCAGGGAGGAAAAGGCTAGTATAGAGTAGTATTTAAATATCTGTACTAGAGTTTCAGAGGCTATAGAAGCTTTTGAAAAAAACCTCTCACTGGGTTCAGACGCACATTCTGCTTCTGTTAAGCAGAAGAGCTCTGCATAAGTAAGGATAACTACTAAGGCCATGCTCACGGACTTCCAAGTTAAGCTATTAACCAGCAGAAAAGACTTTAAGTCTTAAATAAAAGAGCTTGATCGCTGCCTATATAATCTCTTAGAAAAGGGGCCATACCTCACTGGGGAAGAAGCTCTCAGACTTAAATGCATGAAGGAAGAAAGAGACAGTATCTCCTAGTATCTAAATATTTGCACAGATGCGTCCGACCTTGCTGTGAATCCTCGAGTAAACATTTTTAAGAATATAAAATCAGCTGATGACTCCCACCAGCTGGTCGTGTCCATAATTAGGGATCTTATCTCTGTGAAACATATCACTACCGGAGCCAGATCGGCCCAATAGTTCGGGCAGATGTCTGATGAAACACTTCAGCAACTCTCTCAAAATCACAAATTAGTTCCTTCAGAAGAGAAGGAATCAGGTCCAAGGGTGAGTCATGGATTCCATGAAAAGTACGGGGCTGGGTATCAGCTTGACCATTCGCAGAATAAGGGGAAAAATTCCGCCAGTGGTGGAAGTTAAGACCCCCTCCATAGAGCAATTCAACGCCCTATCCCTATATGTCTCGTTTGCATCTGTGGACTTGTTTCAGTTATTTAGAAGTATCTAGCCCGGGCAGCAAGTGCATGCTATCAGAACATGTCTCAGTCAATCAAGAGATCGTTTGCTTCCGTTAGTCCGTCCCATTGTCTTTCCACAAATTCCAGGGATTTGCCAGACAAGAGAACGAAATACAACCCCATGCAACTGTATTTTAGTTCTCATTATTTAAATGTCGTCCAATTTCGCTCCACGGCTTTAGAGTCTAAGCTGTGGCCTTGGTCAACTCACAGGAATGCAACGGTCTGATCGTGCTTGGCAAGGTGGGAGAGGCTCAATGAAACCTCGATCGAAATTTGATTTATCTACCCCGCATGTGGGGCCCCCGCGTCTTCAAAATCAAGAATCAAGTACACAACACCTTAATCATGGCGCCAAATCCAGATATAAGCACTACTGAAGAGCAGGTGTGCAATATCACATGGGAGGAGCACATTGATGGATGCCCCAGTTCTTTTAGGCTGAAATGGACAGTTAGTAAGAGATAGTGGTACCATTCCAGGTAGGTGTGTTCTCTTACAGATTTTAGAACAGGGTTGGAGCCATATATTAAAAGTATACAGCTATGTAGGGAACTAGGGATAGTACTATTTAATACAGGTATATTCATCCTTCTAGCATTATATAGCACTCTTATTAAGTTATGGGTTGCTAATATAGACTCCTCCCTAGTCATTATGACTGATGTCTACACTTAAATCAGCAGTCTAAGTGCAAGTTCATAAAACATTTGTTTGTATACTTTCTAAAATCCCACTGAACTACTATATTTTTTAGTAGATGGAGCCCTTTTCTTACAACTGATCTTATTTAGTTTACTTTTTTATTCTTTCTGGTATTCTGCTGTAAAGCCTCTTAGTTTAGTAAACTTGCTAAGCTCCTCTGTTTTTCTTCTCAAATCACAATGATTCAAAGATGAATCACGTGATATGATTAAAGGATAGAAAAAGTTGAGAGAAAATAGATTCTCTAAAAAAAAGCTTGTAGATAGGAAAGGAAACAATGGTTAAGCAGAGAGGAGGCCCTCATGTTTAAGCTGGCGATAGACAGAGTCTAGTTATTATAGAGTTATACTTGTCACCTACTAATCACCCATGCTCACCTGTGGTGTTGGATAGTATTGCTCAGCTCACCTTCACTCACCCATACTAACCCTATAGTTTAGCATCTTGTACCCATAAAACAGCAGGCCTTTAAGGGTGCATATAACTTTCGACCACATTGATAATACTGGCTTAAGTACGGCTGAGCGGACGGGAAGCCCTATTTTCCACACCCTATAGTTGTATGTGCTTGGTAGGTGATCACGGGAGCCTATATCTCATATAAACAAGAATGCTTTTCTTGTTGTTCATCAATGCCAAACGATCGGCCAGAGCTTTTTCGGCATTTGGCGTTTCGTAAATGGGTGTGTATTTACTTGTCTGTAAGCGGCTCAAATCCCGCAGAACAGGTTCTTCCAGCAAGGGCATTAATGGTGATAAGGGGTTTTGGTCTAGGTCATTCGACTCTCGGAGCTTCTTAACCCACTCATCATATGGAATCTCTTCCACTGGATACCCAGCTTTATTGATCATAATGCCGGTCTCTTCAATATTCACCGACTGTGAATGGTCGGGAGCAACAAGACTGTACGATCGCCCAAGGTTCTGATTTGATGAAGCGATGTGAATGAGAGCGGAGCACACATAGTCCACTGTTACATACTCCATCCGTTGGTCAGGGAGACGAGGCCAGTATCCTATCTGAATACTTCCAACGATCAGCCGTGCGAAAAAATCATCTGGATTGCCCATAGCGGTAACATGGTCTCCAATAGTGAAACCGGGACGATAGATAGCAACCGGTAGCCCTCTAGCGCGCATCCTGCGTACCATTTCCTCTGCCACCCACTGGCTATGCGCGTAGCCTGTGTCGTAAGGCAAAGACTCGAGGTGAGGCTGGAGGGGGCCATCTTCTTGCAGCCTTTTCGTACCCAAGACCAATGCAGTCGGTCCCCATGTGTCGATGCTGGACATGTAGTGGAAGGCCTTGCGTCTTCCCAGTGCAGCCAGTCGGAGAACATTCTTGGTTCCAATAACATTTGAAGCAAAATGATTCTGGTAAGGCTCGCAGAAATTGACCTTGGCTCCCACGTGGAAAATAACACTCGTCCAATTTGTGAGCCAGGTGAACTGTTCTTCGCCCAGACCGAGCGTCTCATCTGCCATTTCGCCATCGAGGACGATCATTTTCCCTATATTCTCCAATGAGGACTCCCAGATATCGTACCTCTCCATAGCGCGTTGGATGCGAGAACTGGCGGGAAGACCATTGCGGCTCCGGGCCAAACACGCGACTTTTTTCACGGTTGGCATACCCAGAAGACGGCCTAGTACATGAACTCCGACAAATCCAGTGACACCTGTGATAAACACACGTCCTTCCTCGTTGGACTGCCAGTCTGGTACCACCGGGATATCGTCGGCCAGTTGAGCGTCCGCCTCCATGGTACCGGTATTGACAAGAGAAGGGCGGGTTTGTTTGGTCTCCCTTAGCATTGTGGCTATTTTGGCAACAGTGGGATTTGCCAGGAGCATATCCATGGTCACCTTTTTACCAAATCGTTGCATCATAAGTCCAATAAATTTGGCTGCTTCGAGAGACGACATGCCCAGCGAGAAGATATCGTCACTTTCCAGGAACTCGGGCACATTAATCAGTCCCCGTACCATATGCTTCAGCGTGTTGGTAAGCTCATTGGTGGCTTGCTGCGGTTTATTATCCGCTGCTGATGCTGTCCTATGGCCTTCTTTTGACCTCTTCTGGCCCTCTCGAGCCAAAGCCCCTCGGTCAATCTTCCCATAGACAGTCAGAGGAAACTCTGAGATCACTGTGATCTGGCTAGGTACCATGTACGGAGGCAATCTTTCCTTGGCGTAATCCTTGACTGCCTTCAAGCTCAGATTACTACCTTGCTCCGATGTGACAATATAGGCAGCAAGGAGCTTATGGCCAAATGGACACTGTTGCAGAACCACAGCCTGTCTAATACCGTCCATTTTCTCGAGTGTTTTTTCCACATCTCCCAACTCGACCCGAAAACCATCCTGCTTGACCTGCATATCGAATCTTCCTCGAAAGTCCAAAATCTCCTGTGGGATTCTCCACTTAGCAAGGTCGCCGGTTTTGAACACACGTATAGACCCCGCTGAAGCTTCGTTCAGTGTGGATGCGTCTAGTTCGATGAAGTGCTTTGTATTTGCATCAGGCTGATTGAGATAGCCCCTTGATAACCCTGGGCCCGCGAGATAGATCTCTCCTTCCCGGTCGCGGCCCAAGATCAACTTCTTTTCATCATCCAGGAGGTAGACTTTTGTCTCACCCACGGCTTTGCCGATGCCTATAGTCTCACGCGCTGTCTCCTTGAGATCAATCAGCTGCAAGGTGACGAATGTTGTGCACTCAGTAGGTCCGTAGCCGTTCCAGAGATACTTCGGTGCACCCTCGGTGATAACATCTCGCACCGCCTTCACGTTGGGAGCTTCACCCAATGTGAGTACGTGACGGGCTCCCCTGAACGCGGAAGGGCAGTTGGTAGCCACAATCGTAAAGAGAGCAGTGGGAAGCATCATCACGGTCACTTTGTGCTTCTTTACGAAGTCACCGAAGCTAAATGGGTCCGTTGCAGTTGACTTTGGTACGACGACAATTGTGGCACCGGCAAGCAAGGTAACCCAGATCTCAAAGAGAGATAAATCAAATCCGGGGTTATTTACTTCGGTCACCCTGTCATTTGGATCAAGCGGCGTCACGGGCGTCGAGCTTGCCAGGTGCAGTATACTGCGAGCAGAGATTTGAACTGCTTTGGGTCTTCCTGTTGAGCCTGATGTAAAAAGAATGTGGCTGCGGTGGTGTTCTGGGAAACCTGCGAGCACCTGTATAGCTTGCACATCTTCAGTAAAAGAGGCCTTGGTGTCCGCAACATTATCAACAAGTATTATATCATAGCCGGAGGCTCTTTCGCCCAGATCTGCAGTGGTTATTATACGCCTAGCTTCAATGTCACTAAGCATATCATTCAGGCGTTTCTGAGGCATAGACGGGTCGACTGGCACGCAGCTTCCTCCTGCCCGTAACACAGCCACTTGAGAGATAATCTGCCTATACCCAGTTCCAAGAAAGATGCAGATTGGCTCTTCAGGAGCGATATGTTTCTCGTGTAGCAGCGTCACCAGACGGTCAGCGCTTGCAATCAGCTCGTTGTATGTAAAGGTGTGCTCTCCATCAATAATGGCAGGAGCTTCTGGATGACGTCTGGCTTGATAGCAGAGTAATTGCTCCATGGTTTTGTTTATATAATATGGATCAGTTGATTTATAAGTCTGTGAAAGAAACCTTTGTTTACCTTGTTCGATGGAGGAGCTTAGCCACCTAGCACGTAGCCTGCATGCGATTTATATTTCAGTTAGCAATACTGATCTTACAAGGTAAGTTAAACTATGGAAGGCCATTAAGGAATAAGCCCTTCTCGTCATTATGATACAACCCAGATTTCGAAGTTGATATGGACTGTCATCTTGCACAGCATGCCGAATGACTTCATGTAATGCAGTCTAGATCTGGCCTGTCACATAAAGTTATGCCTAAGTCTGCTGAAAGCGGCCACTTTGCCAAATTGACATGACGATAGGCTTTTAAGCTATACCGGGTACAAACAAGGCGCCTGGCAATGACCTCAGTACAAAAGTTTACCATGTGGAGAGGACACTGCAACCAGAAATATAGACTGCTCTAGGCCATTCTTGAGAGCTTAACGTGCCATTCCTGATCAAGTAACACCCTATTTAGTTGATGCTAGTAGCGTATGAAACCAAGGAAGCCCTCAATCATCTCAATTTGCATGCAGAACCGGATTAGACCTTCAAAGAACTCCAGGTCCACAAACGATATACCAATGACGACAAATGCTCCAGGCCATATTTAGTTGTTCAAAATCTAGAGTAAGGAGTCCGGATTTCCTCCAATATTCCCATCAGGCTACTGCCCTACTTGATTCATAGCACATTAGAGCAACAATGGCTTCCCAGGTTCCCTCGTGGGTGATAGAGGAGTTGAAGTTACTCTTCACGGGTAAAGACCAGGTTATTAGTCCACATAGCTCCGGCTATGATAGAGCTCTGCAACGGTGGTCTGATCTTGCCATTCAACGAGCTGTATGAGACATGTTCCACCTTGGATAAGAACCTGCTCAAATGAACTAACTTCGATAGGGAGTGGTCATCTTTCCTGAAAGTGCACAAGATGTTTCCAAGGCTGTTCACTTTTCCCAACAACATAACATAGACCTGGCGGTCAAAGGGGGTGGTCACACCCCTGATGGTGGAAACTCCAGCGATGGGGGTATCACCCTTGACCTTGGGAGAATGAAGAAAGTCTCCGTTCATTCTGACACCAACACTGTTACTGTTCAAGGCGGCGCACTGTGGGCAGACGTACACCATGCTACCGCTGGAACTGACCTTATAGTGGCCAGCAGCACAGTCAGTTCTACCGGAGTCGGTGGTGTGACGCTCCAGGGAGGATACGGGTATTTGATGTGTGCACATGGATTGATTATTGACAATCTTCTGTCTGCACAGGTAATTATTGCGGGTGGACAATTACTAACCGCCTCGGAGAGCGAGAATTCGGATCTCTTCTGGGCGATTCGAGGGGCTGGTCAAAATTTTGGTGTTGTGGTGGAATTCACCTTTCAGGCCCACAAACGGCCCGGCGATGTATTTGCTGGGTCGCTTGTGTTCACAGCTGAAAAGATGGCAACTATCCTCGAATCACTCAATGCGGCACTCAAGTATAAAGATGGGAAAGCTGCTGCCCAGTGCATAATCTCCCAGCCTCCCAACTCTAAAGAACTGTTGGTGACCGTTGGGATCTTTTACAATGGCCCAGAAAGTGAGTGCAGGGAGAGGTTTATTGACATCTTCAATATGGAGACTGTTAGCGCCGACGTTAAAATGATGCCGTACGAAGAGGCCAACACCTTGTTTGACTCGGTCAGTCCTCCTGGCGGCCGTAAAAGGGTGATCGGATTGGAGTTCGCCTCTCCCATCAGGCCAGAGTTTGCGCAGAAGGTATTCGATGAGCTCAAGCTCAAGTTCGAGGCTGAACCAGATTTGATTCGGTCCTACATAGATGTGGAATTCTGGGAGATGTCCAAAGTCTGCCAGGTGCCGACTCAGGCGACTGCGTTTCCAAGCCGAGTGATGACCCAGAAAGGAGCACTTACGCTTCAATATACAAACCCCGACAAAGACGAGGAGTATCTTCAATGGGCAACCAAGATGCAAATGATATTTCAAGATGAGTTCAAGCGAGCTGGTTATAAACCAAATACGTTTGTGTCAAATTTTACCTACTATACAAAGCGTAAGTCACTGACGATATCTTGCATTTACCTTACCATCTTACTAATCAGATAACAACTCCATAGCCTCCAGTAAAAGATCAGCCTCGGACATGTTTGGAGTAAACGGGCCGAGATTGGTTGAGCTCAAGAAGAAATACGATCCGCAAGGGTTTTTCAACAAACTGAATCCTATAATCACATAGTTGCGAGTCCAACTTTCCTCTGAGCAGCTCATATCCACAGAGACAATCCGGATCCTGGCCAGATTCAATGAAGCTCCGAGAAGGCTGACTCGTGCTTTTTTTTTCTCTGATGTTGTTCCCCTGTATTTTCGATATATATGAGGTAATGGTTGAGGTTATCTTTGCTAACTGTTTTTGCCGGTTTAAGTAAAGCCATGAACTATTCATCCACTGCAGAGCTAAATGAACAGTAAAACAGTGTTCCCCATAGGCGTAATATCATCAGTGCCGCTGTTTTACATATGCTGTTCCCTCTATTTAGATATCCAAGGTCTTTAATTTACGTCTGTCCAGTACCTAAGGTCAGATTCATGTAGTTGACGATAGATGCTGAGCTCCTGTGATATGCCCGTTCAACCCTACATTTAACGGAGTTGCCAGAATAATCTTGGAAGCCGTTTCCTGCTCAGCTTGGCATCTAGACTTCTTCAGACGAACCTAGATGCAGGGCGTGAGCCTCGACGAAGCACTGTGGAGACGCATGGTTTGACCTTGCAGGTCGCTTACAGTTATCAACGTAATCCAGTCCTCCTACCCATTCATATGCTTCGCTTGATACTTTCGCTTAGGTGTCTGCGTGTCATAATTGCGTCTTCCTTGGTATGCCGAATACGGCAGGACCTCAGATAGTTGATAAAAAGACCTACTTGACCTAGACAGTCGTTTTAACACAACCAATGCGCTTCTTTCCTTCTCTAAGCCTAGAAACGGACACCTCTTTTGCCTCAGTTCATCCCTTCCAACCATTGCTAAACTTGTAACATGGGATTCTACGACGTCGCTCCTAAGCCAAAGAGTGTTCTTGGCTATCACCGTGTCCTTGCCCCCTCAGCTGGGGTCAAAGTCTCCCCCCTATGTCTAGGGACGATGAACTTTGGAACCAAATGGTATATCCCTCAGGAAGAATGTCCCTGGTCCACTTCGGTAGGGTATTGTTAATAGCATATAGGGAGAGCTTCATGGGCGAATGTAAAAAGGAAGATGCCTTTGCCATTATGGATGCATTTTACGACCATGGAGGCAATTTCATTGACACGTAGGTGGTAGAGAATCTCCCAGCAAGGGCGAATCAACTGATACTTATACATGCTTAAAGCGCCAACTGTTATCAAGATGAGCAATCGGAGGAATGGATTGGTGAATGGATGAAGAGTCACGGAAATCGTGATCAGATGGTGTAAGCATATATTGCATGCCTATATTGTCATGGGCTACTTTACTGATCTTCAGGATTGCAACCAAATATGCTATCGGCTATCGACCCACGCATTTTGATAAAGAGCCCATCCAATCCAACTTTGTTGGTAACTCGATGAAGTCGATGCATCTCTCAGTCAACGCAAGCTTGAAGAAGCTACAGACTGACTACATCGATGTTCTATACCTACATTGGTGGGACTTAACCACTGGCATCGAGGAAGTGATGCATGGCCTTAATGTCTTGATCAATGCCAGAAAGGTGTTGTATCTCGGCATCTCTGACACTCCCGCCTGGGTTGTTGTCAAGGCCAACGACTATGCGCGGACAAATGGCCTCCGTCCTTTCTCCGTCTACCAAGGTAGCTGGAATGCATCATTGAGAGATATGGAGAGAGACATTATTCCTATGTGTCGGGATCAAGGCATGGCGATTGCTCCTTGGGCATCTCTCGGCCAGGGCAAATTCAAGTCTGCCGAAGCTCGTAAGGCTGCTCATACAGGATCTGGAAGAGCAGCGGAACCGTCGGAGCGTGAGATCAAGGTGTCTGAGGTTTTGGAGGCTATCGGTGACCGCAAGGATACAACCCTACACGCAGTAGTAAGTCGGTCTTCCACATTCTTTAGCCTCGAGAAGTAGTACGACAACGATAACACATTTCTTAGGCTCTTGCGTATATCCTTCACAAGGCACCGTATGTCTACCCCATCGTCGGGCAACGGAAGGTGGAGCACCTCATGGCAAACATTCAAGCCCTTAGCATTGCTTTGTCGAAGGAGGAGATGGATGAAATTGATACTGCTGTGCCTTTCGATGCAGGGTTCCCAAACAACTTCATATTCTCTGGCAAATACGACCTGAATAAGACTGCCTCCGACGTCATGCTGACAACTTTGTCTGCGCATATCGACTCACCGGCAAACCAGGAACCGATCAAACCTCGTCAGGACATATAAGCACTGCCTTCATTTGTATATTTGATGGGGGTGACGGGGGTGAAAGCAAACACATGGTTATTCTCAGTACGATGTTTGCTAAAACCTTAAATTTGAAAAGTACATATTTCGGGCTCGTTACGGATCACTCAATGCTTTTACTTATGTGGGGCTTATAGTATGTATACAGGAATGGATTCTATTTGCTGTAATATATAATACAATAGTAATAGTGCTAACATAATTTCAGAAGCCGTTTCTTCCTAACTTGAATATCTTTTTACTTCAACACGTAAAGCAGTGCATGAACCCATCAAAACCCTAATAGTATGGTGTGTAGTCTACCACCAATAACTAATTAACTATAGCACCATGCGAATATATAATACCCTTACCACTATTTAACGCATAGCTTTAAGCTCTTTCTAGGTTTGCTTTTCGATATATTTTACAATTGTTCCTGAACCTATATTAAGCTGAAATTATTAGGCTTCTACTGGTTGTAACTAGTAGTGAATTCCTAGAATAGTAATTCCTAGTTCAGAGCTTTAACTAGATTGGCTGACCTAAGCCTGATCCTTCCTTCAGAATAAGTCAGCCATGGATCACAATCAAGAAGGTGTGCCTTTAAGGTAGGGGGTGCATCTATATTAGGACACTGTGAGAATTACTACCTAAGGTTTATGTTAGAGAAATATCAATAAAAGTCAACCTCTGAGGATACTCAAGAACAATAATGATGGTAAAAACATCACATCATTAATGAAAGGCAATAACTAGGGAACAACATGGTAGGAGGAGAATCCTTCTGTGTTTGGTGACGATGTTGTTATCATCCCCGTCATCCGCCTCAAGGGATATGGCCCGAGATAGTAAACCAATTGCGTCGCTGTAAACAGCTCACGCGCTATCCTCATTCCCTACTTTGGACACGATATCGGTAGCCAGCTACGCAGGTATCGGCCAAAAAGCTGGGCCATAGAACCACAGGCCAAGATGTCCGGAGCGCCCTTTAATGCCTCATGCAGATTCTCACGGCCATACTCCACCATATTTTCGTACACCTCCCATCGTGTCCGCTCACCCAGAACCTTCTCTTTCAGCATCGGTACAAGAGGGTATAGAGGATCATTTGTCCGCAGTGAGAGAGACTGCACCCACTCGGCGTACGTGATTCCGTGCATCGGGTATGGACATATGCTCTTCAACAGGTCGAAGCTTGTAGACATATCGATCGCATGCGTTTTGTCCGGATGCACCAGGTTGTAAGCATGTCGTAGGTTGTCTTTCGATTTAGAGATGTGCAACATAGCGCCCACAATGTAATCCACGGGGATGAATTCCTTGCGCTGACTTGGAAGAAGAGGGTAACATCCCATCTCCATGCAGCTTGCGAACACACGGCCGACGAAGTCATCCGGGTTGCAGACCCCTGTTTTGCTGTGGCCGAGTACGAAGCCCGGGCGGTAGATGGCAACAGGAAGTCCATTGTCGATTGCATTCCAGACAATTGCTTCGGCGACATATTGGCTTTGCGCATAACCCGTGTCGTAATGGAGTGCTGTCAAGTGTGAGGCTGGACGCTCATCCTCGTGCACAAACTTGGTACCAGTCACGAGACCTGTAGGGCCGTATGCTGCGATCGTAGAAGTATAGTGAGTTGCTTTTAGACGCTTGTGGTTGGCAAATTCGAGAATGCTGCATGTACCGATGACATTGTCCATTCTATGGGAGGAATAGGGGGCAACGTAGCTCACTTTAGCCCCAAGATGAAAGACTACGCTGGCCCACTCAGCATAGTAATCATAGTTCCTGCGATTCAATCCAAGGTTTGCTTCACCGAAACTGCCTGGCACGACGACAACTTTATCCAGATCAGAGTAAATCTGGTATTTACGAAAAATGTTCTCAAGGCGCAACCGCCCAGCGGCTTTATCTTTGGCGCGAATCAAACAAGCGACCTTCTTAACCGTCGGCATTCGCAACAGTTCTGCGAGAAAGAACGCACCAACGAAGCCTGTAGCTCCTGTAAGGAAAACACGCCCCTCAGAAACGTCTTCCCAGTCGATGACTTTGCCGGGCAAAGGCTTCAATTGCTGGCCCAGCTGCGAGTCCTGCAACCATAGCTCCTGTTCGGCTTCGTTGGTAAGCTCCATACTTTTGTCCTGAATATTTTCCAATAGATTCGTAAGACTCCTTAGGGTCGTATTTTCGTAAAGCATCGAGGCGCGCAGCGAGACTCCAAATGTACGGTTAATTCTAGCGAGCAAAGTTGCGGCCATCAATGAATTGACTCCCATCGCCATGAAGTCATCGGTTGGATCGAAGCCCTCAGTGGGAAGACTTAGAACGTCGATACAGAGGGACTTTAATTTGGCCTCCACGTTGCCAATATCCTTGCCTGTAGGTCGGCTTGTCGTGCACGAATCTTCAATCTTTGCAAGGTATCGATGCTCCAACTCCTTGCGATCAGTTTTGCCACTGGTCTTCAGCGGCAATGAACCCATGAGTTCAATGCGAGGTACGATGAGATTGGAGTATCTTTCAACATATGCTTTGGTTATTGCGGCAACAGTGATGCAAGGAGATATTGGGACGCAGAACGCAACCAGAAATGGACTCCTCCCCACTCCTTTGGGTGTGATTTTAATCACTACTGCAACACTGACGAGCTTTGTCCTGACAATGTTGGATTCCAGAGCCTCAATCTCGACCCTTTGGCCTCTTATCTTCACTTGGCTGTCTCTCCGACCAACATAGTAATGGACACCATCTTCATTCATACGCATCAGGTCGCCTGTTCGGTAAATGTGTCCGGGTCCCCGGTTGTTTCTGCTGCTGAGTGGAAGATGAGGGAGGCAGACGAAGCTTTTGGCTGTCTTTTCAGGCTCTCCGATGTACCCGCCAGCGACTCCTGCACCCGCCACAAGGAGCTCACCGACAACGCCGGGCTTGACGGGCATCAGGTTTTCATCCACCAGAAAGGTCTGTACGTGGCGGAAAGGCTTGCCCACGGGTATCTCACCCCGCTGTGCCTCCTCCAGCGAGACAGGATGCCAGAGTGAGTATACACTGCACTCTGTGGGCCCGTAGCCATTGATGATCCGCCGTGGTGCGCCTCCCTCAAATATGGACCTGATGGTTTGAACATTGATCGCCTCGCCGCCGGTGATTAGGGTGTCAAGGGAGGAAAAGGCACTTGGCGAAGCGTACGCAGTGATATCAAGTAACGATGTTGTGAGTTGTACCACATTGAGCTTCAGACTTTTAATCTGGCGAGAGAGCTCTATAGGATCGAGTACTGTTTCCATAGGAATGCAAACTATTGTTGCCCCATTCAGTAAGCTGCCCCAGATCTCCACCAACGAGATATCAAAGGCCACACTCGCTATATGACCGACACGGTCACCTTTCTTTACCAAGGCAGAAGGATCGTGGCAGAGGTTGATCAGCCCCTCCGCAAAGGCTTCGACGGCTTTTGGCTTGCCAGTCGTGCCAGAGGTATGGAGGATATGAGAACAGCTCTTGGGGCCCTTGAACAATGGAGCAAAGCTAGTATCAGAAGCCTCAGTCGTGTGATCAGCAAGCATATGTGCGAAAGCTGGAAGTCGATGCGTGTTCTCTTGATCGCATATAACGAGATTGGAGTTGATATTGCGCAGCATATCATTGAGATGATCATCAGGCATATTGAGATCAAGAGGCACGCATGATCTACCCGAGTAGAGCACGGCAATCTGGGCCAAAATATGGTTCATTCCCCTCGGGATGAGGATTCCAACCGGAGTTTCGTCGCAGGGGCAGATGTCATGAATTTGCTGGGCCAGATACAATGCTTTCCAATGCAAATCAGCATATGATAATGCATGACCATCGCTCTCAACCGCTGCTGCAGCACCATTCGCAGAGGCGTGAGCTTGGAAAAGAGCCCCGAGGCCTAGGTTCCATTGTTCCTCTTCAGGAAAGACCATCATGCTGGGAAACGGCGCAGTGGGCATGATGAAATGAGCAGCAAGTAGCAGCAGATCGTCGGTCCAAAGATGGTATGCTGTATTTTTAGATGATGAGAGTATGCAGTTATCAATGATTCAGAGTTAGAACAACCTGGCAATACGCCTCTAATCATCTATTTATTAAACTACTGCCACTGTAAAGTAAGTAGGAGCTACGTACGCTGGGATCTGATCCTCCAATAGATCCAAGCCCACCTCTAACTACCATCATAACAGTGTTATTCATTGTGAACCCGGATCTATGACGGTATGTAGGGATTTGGATTCACCACCTTTCCTATAAGCTAGTGTTCTCCGCATCATAAACTCAGCCTCCAGCAATGGTGGTGTCATGCATGGGAATCATCGCCAATAATGTCCAAGGATGAGGTGCCGCTTTGCTCTAGAATGCCAACAGATGGAAAGCGATCTTCCGGAAGCAGCGCAAGTAGTTCAAGAGAGTGTTTCCTAGTTGGTAAAGGATAAATACTACAGGTATTGCATGTCCCGGCAAAGGGAAGCATAGCTGCTAGTCCCAGCAAGCCATGGAAATCGAATTTCCCTTTTGTTTGATGACGCGATACAAAGAATCCACAACATTGTCCTAAGAGCGAAGAGATCTATGTTGACGTAACCTTTGTCGACTGAACAAAAATAGCTGTTCGACCCGAGATGCGTCTGAGGTAGCCTTGCGGTGATATGATGCGTCCAGGCCTTGCATTGCGTTGATAGCTCTACGAAATCCCTGGGGCACTTGGCAACAAACCAACCATTGTTAAATAACAATTGCACAATTTCATATGCACCTACTGTTCAGTGGCCTAGGCACAATCTTTCACGCTTTCCAAAGCGGCCTCAATCATAGGAAGTCGTATTTTGACAGGCCTGTACCACTAGGCAATCAACTTTTAGCTCTCAATAGCTACTATAGTAGAGAGATGTTGGACAAGGTCAAACAAGTACGTTTAGTTTACTTAGTGAATTGCATCATATAATCTTGACTACATTCAGATAAACATCATTACATGAAAATTTGAGTGCAGCGAGGCACTTGGCGCAGTCTAACTTTAGACATAAAAATTAATTATAATATACCCCTTCCAGCCTATAGGATGCGATGGTTGCGCACCACACTTTTATGTTGATCGTGAAAGTAAAACCCAATAGAACAGACCTGCTCGAGTAGAGAGTGGGAATAACCGTATACAGTCATTGGAGATTTTAGATGGTTACATCAATGTGACCACTCCTGATTTCGACGCTTTTCGCCAACTTGAGCTTCCTATCGGTGGTGTAGCCAGCCGAACATCATCGATCCGCTTACTGCTAAGCAACATTTGCAATATCCGCACTTTTGGCATAGTGAAATCATCTCTCAACCCAAAACCCTTCAAAAGCAATATGCACCGAAATTGCAACCTTGCAGTGGCAAAGCTGTTCTATGATGATCTGGGCGCTTATAGACATTAATTTACATTTACTACGGATAAGAGTATCCACTGGTGGCTGGGCGCACACGTCGCTCCCTGCTGGATGCATGCAGATATGCCTAGACCATCTGGAATTCTGTCCTACCCTAGAAAGAAATATAAGAGTCAAGTAATCTTTGTTCCATGTTGGAGTCCTCGTTTAGTTCTGTACTCCAGGAAAAGCAGCAAAGTAGCGACGAGAACATGTCAGCCGAACCGAAGACTATTGCCGTGTATGGTGCTACAGGTAAGAAGCCGACAGCTCCACGTCGTAACAAGTAATTGACAAGGTGAAGGTACTCAGGGGACCGCTGTCTCGCTGAGCCTGCTCCAGAGCAAGCAGAATTTCGTGGTGCGGGCAATTACTCGGAATCCTCAATCACCCAAGGCTCAAGCACTTGCTCGCCTGGGAGCACAGGTAGTGAAAGCAGATGGTTTCAATGATGACGAGATGCTGGCCGCGCTTTCCGGAGCTTGGGGCTTTTGGCTCAATACCCATCATCACGACCCAGTAAGCATTTGCAGAAGGACTAGTAAGAGAACAGGCTAACTACCATCGCAGGCACTCCTCACTCCTGAAGGTCCCGATGACGAAGCGTTTGGCAAACGCCTTGTAGCGCTTGCTGCGGAAGCCGGCGTCAAGGTGTTTATTTACAGTACGTGCGAGTCTCCTGCGCAGTTTACGTACAACAAGGCACCGGTACCTGGTATGGATGGTATGTAGAATTCCCCTCATTGATGCAATCATCGTTGCCACCATATGAGATTACGCTAAGATTGCATCACAGGCAAGAACAGAGTCGAGATGTTTGCTCGAAGCTTTAAAGAGTTCGATTCTGTCATTGGTGCCTTTCCGGGATGGTATATGGAGAATTTTCTGGATGAGGAATATGTATCTTGCTTTGGAGGTTTTCCGTCTGTTCCAGATGCCGAAGGCTATCTTAGCTTTCACAGCCCACGTTGGGGAGGGGATGGGAAAGTCCAGTTTATCTCAGTCGCCGATGACTTTGGAGAGATGGTCCATGGAATGTTCCTGAATCCAGCAAAATGGAAGAACAAGACCATCCAGTGCTTTAGCGACACGTTTACTTACGATGATATGGCAAAGATATTTACCGAAGGTGAGTCCCTAGCTTACACGAAAGCAATCCATGTCACCAGCCTAATCTAATCGAACGTATTTACAGTTACCGGAAAGAGAGCTCGATATGTGCCTATGGGCTCGTACAAGGTTTTCCCCACCCATGGCAGTACCGTTTTGGAAGAGGTCCAAGATGTTTTTAGATACGCCCAGGCAAATGATGGCTGGTTCTTCGGAAATCCGGACAATATCGACGATGGGCGTGCCCTCAAGGAAGCAGCTCGGAAGGATAAGGGACTGCCGGTTGAGCCACTCATCTCAGTGAAACAGTATTTCCAGAAACATTTCGCCTATCCAAACTAGTGTTACGAACTGCTGTGGATAAGCACATTTTGTCAGCGTTACTTTAGTGATATCAAGGAATCCCAGAAATCTGCACTGAGTACCCTTGGGGATCTTCCGGCCCGTGGATGGTCAAACCCTAATTCACAACTTAATAAAGCCGTAGGCACTTTCTCTGGCTATGGGTTTTTGGCGTATATTATAACACGAAAGGTGTTAGAAACTTGATTCATAGAGTATATACGGGTATTTTGAATCATGATATCATGATGCTGCCGTGACAAAAGTCAAGATGAAGCAGCATGCTTTCTAGAAACTTGGTAAGCTGGTATTACCGGTGAAGCAGGCTCCTTCCCTTTTTAGATATTCCTGTCATAGGGGCTTGATGAGGTCTCGCCCTATGGTCCAAGATATTTGTAAACTGTCAACTGTCTCAACGGTACGTAATTCATTAGAGGTGGCTCTCTTTCATCTACAGACCGTCGGCTCCCTTCGGCTGTTACCTCTATACAACGCCTACTACAACCTTGTCCTCCAGTCTCACTTTTGTTTATTCCTTGGAATATATGGAATGTAAAGTTCAAGATCTACCGACAGACGTCATATTGAATGATTCACTTCTGCTGAACCACTGGATCAAATAATCTACATACTGCGGTGTGCTGGCTGGTCGTCGCAGACCACCGAGCAGCAGGTAAGGTAGTATTCGAAATTTCAGTGGCCAACCTCGCCGTGATACAGCAATGATGATGGTTTGGAAATCGTCAAGATTATTTGTAAATTATAAAGGGCCCCTCGGCGTATCATTCGGAACCAGGAAGCTACACCAAGCCGCTTTTCGTCCAGAGGGAACCCCCAGTTTTTGTACCGACTAGTATTCGCTGCCCTCCGAAGAATGGCTTTCCAGCAGCTTAGAGCACAGCTCGACGGTCATGCAACCGTTGTCTTTCCGGGCGACCAAGATTGGGATGATAGCGTAAAGCGATGGTCTGCTATAGGCTTTCGACGACCGGTACTACCCTTCACCTTTACAAGCCAATGTTTCCTTATTGACACAGTCACTACAGGGTGTCGTGGTTCTTCCAGCCGATATTCAGGGAATAGCGAGGACTGTGCGGTATGCAAAGGATCACAAGTTAGATCTAGCGGTTCAGGGTGGAGGTCACTCCAGCAACACCGCTTCCTCGACTGATGGAGGAATACTTCTGAACCTCGGCCCGATGAACCGAGTGAGCGTCGATACTAGCACCCAGACAGTCACCGTTCAAGGTGGTGCAACATGGGCTGATGTGGCCCGAGAAACAGCTAAGTATCAGCTGGTCGTCAACGGAGGCACAACTGGCCAAGTTGGGGTTGGGGGTCTCACTTTGCGCGGCGGTTTCGGATTCTTGACGCCGCAGCACGGGGTGACTCTCGATACTCTCCTTGCTGCGAAAGTCGTCACCGCGGAAGGCATCGAGTTGCAGGTGTCCAACAAGGAACACTCGGATTTATTCTGGGCTATTCGAGGTGCTGGACCAAATGTTGCAGTGGTGGCTGAATTCACATTCCAAGGCTACCCACAACCGAATCTGGTCTGGTCTGGGTTGAGAATCCACGCATCCAGTGAGGTATCGAAGGTCATTGAAGCCCTGAATCAGGCGCTTGTTCATCCCCAGAGGAAAGCTGCAGCGCAGTGTATTCTGTGTTTATCTCCAGAGGACGAGAAAACCCCATCTGTCACTACGATAATATTCTTCAATGGCTCCGAAGAAGAAGGGCGCAGGCACTTTGCTCAGTTGCTTGAGGTGGAATGCATCAAGGACGATATTAAAATGAGATCTTATGCTGAAACAATCGGTATCTGGGATCAACTGACCCCCCCCGGGGGTCGGAAAAGAGAACTAGGGATCCAAATGACGTTACCACCCCGGATTGCGTTTGCCTCAGAGCTCATGGACAAATTCAGTGATAAACTTACCAAGGAGCCAGACCTGGCTAAATCTGACTTTGAGATCGACTATCTTGACCCGACCCAGATCTGCCGCACTCCTATTAGAGAGACCGCTTTCCCCACGCGTATTAATGATCTCCTGCATGCGACGCTCATGTTGCAGTGGACCGACGCCGCCAAGGATGAGGACTTTCTCTCATGGGGGCGGTCGATCCAGAAGATGTGTGAAAATGAATTAACTAACCAAGGCCACAAACTGGCACACACTGTGTCGAATTACAATGGTTACACTCAAGGTTCGTCAGCGTCCTTGGTGAAAGACTCATTAAGACAGCAAGAAATCTGACATCCACATTAGAAATGAAAGTGGCAGCTGCAGATATGTTTGGCGTTAATGCAGAGCGCTTATTGCACGTCAAGGCAAAGTATGATCCAGCCAATATTTTCAACAAACTTAACCCTCTTGATCGGGAACTATGAACCACCATTAGCGCCAACTGGTTGCTAAAGTTATAAAAGTTGCATTTGACTATTGTTCGCGATTGCAGATCACAAGCTTCCAATTCTTTTTTTTATTGGATATGATTATTGAGTGGTCAATATTAAGTTCATAGCCTACATGCCGGCATAACCGAACCGTCGAAATTAGAATCAACCAGCGTAGCTACTAGGATGAGCTAGGCTGGCTAGTGTCGTATCCTTGGAGCCGTCTCTGCTATTCTCTGGTAGTCAATAATTCTAGAATTGAGCTTGGATTTCCTGCTTGATGAGGTGATGTTCTGTGCCTTCATTAAAATTCCAGATACTGGCCTGGGGCCCTCACAATCATTAGCTCATTATGCTGCTAGGCATAACGAAGACCTTCACTAGGACTCTTTAGTTATTCCCTAGACTGTTAAACCTTATTCCTAGTATCTTGTCTTTCGTTCAGCCTTACTGTAAGCCTTGACATCCAGCTTGTCGAGGTGGCATTTCAACAGCAACGGGCAGGCTGGGGTATGACCAGTACAATCAGTCCATGTCGTGTCTATGACTACATTCATGTAACACTTGCGGGTCTGTTGAGACTTTACAGCTACCTTACAGGGTCTTACTAAAAGCGGCCCGTCATGCCCCTTGATTCCGTGAAGACCAAAAAAGTCAAAAGGATAACACAAATGTGCTGGTATTATTGTAGTAGTCGTTGATACTGTGATTAGACGATTATTCTTTAGTATTCCAATGGACTATCGTAATTAGACTGACCTAGAACATTCACTTGGTTACATCAATCAGTCTGATTCTCTCCAGTAGGGTTCTGATGTATACATGCCCACCTCCCCGACCTGCCTCTCCCCGAACCTGAAACGGGACTTTAAATTATTGAACCCTATTGGCCCTGTCCCCAAAATCTCTCAGAGTAAATGTATTTGATAAGTAAGATGCGCATATAAACTAGCTTTCTAAAAGTTTTATTATTCTATAACCCCATATTTATAAATCCATATACTGAAACTTTGACACTCGGACTACTGAGCAATAAAATCTGCGACAAAAATTCAGTTCAATTTTCCCACCGGAACGGTGTCCAATCAGTGACACCGTTACTCCCCGGATACTTTATCCGGGATATGATTGGAATAGGGCAGATTCCAGACCAGAGGTTCGATGGCCTCACGACTTCCGCCTATAGGACCGTAGCTTACACCCATTCCCGTTCATGGCGATACATGAGGAATCAATCCCGTGGGACTCGTCTTGCAGGATTTGAAATGTTCGAGAGTATTATTCTTTGTTCAACTTCCTAAAATGACTTCAATAAATATGCAGTGTTGTAAGTAATCGGCTGCCTGGAGAAGCTCGTTATGAGGATCCGTATTTCCAGGTCATCTGAGGAGGTAAAGCACAAGTTACCATTATGTTCTCCACTCAATTTTTTATCTTCTCTAATAGTCTGCTTTTGAAAATGAAGTGTTCTTTTCTCCGTGCAGGAACAGCCTTGGTTTCTACAGCCCTAGCAGGCAATTGTTATCAACGCTACCTTTACTGTGGATGAGATCCAACTGACCGTGACGGTATTTCTTTCCATCTACCTTGTTGCTAGAGCAGAGTATTCATATTCTATGCGCTACCACTCAACTACGCTCTGACACTCTGACACGCTCTGGAAAACACTGTCATGAATCCTTTTTCGAGCCAGCAGCTTTGGAACTCATTATAATACTGTCAAGAGCGTGGGTGTCGGTCCTGACAAGGAACTGTACAGGGGATATATATCCAGCCGGTGTCGTTCCAACGCAATCGGAGGGGAGGTGGTGTCAGGCATGCGCATACCCTGTCTGGTCCTAAATACGTACGAGGTGCAGACTACATTACAGGATAAGTCTGGTTGGCAACAGAAAGGATGCAGTTATGCATCCCAGTTGGGCAGGAAAGCATTGGCCTTTCCATGCTGCGAGTTACTGCGTCTACGGAGTCACCGCATATGATTAAGCTTAATTACGCGGTATATTATACCAACAGAGAGGCAGTCTTCCTTCTCAGTCTCTATTTCAATGCAGCGCAGATATTCCTGTATATCCGTGAGCTCTAATCATACCTGCGCACATGATATTCTCGAGGTCGCCTCTCTTACCCCTCTTCTCGATTATCAAGAAGGGCAGAAGCAGATTCGGCTAAGCCTCGATACTCGGTGAACGACGGAGCATTATTATCATCTAGGCTCAAGGTTCGACTTCATGATTGACAGTTTCTGCAACCAGTGAGTAAAAACTGTTGTCTGCACCGAAGGTGTCACACTGCACAATTGCAGACGATCATTTGCCCTCTGGAACCCACGCCGACCGATTCTCCTGCGCAAAGAGATCAAAGCTTCTCGGAGGTCGCCCAGTCACCTTTTCAACTTCATCATTCTCCCGTGTCTCAAACCCAGTCGAGGCGGCAACCTCCAGCTTTGTCAAGAAGCCCGCGTAGTACTCGGAGACACCCGCGTTTACCAGGCCCCCGTACCGCTCCTCTCCCGAAAGCTTGACGTGTTCGATCGTTCGTCCCAGGACCTGGCTCAGCTTCTCGGCAATATCATCATACGTCAAGAGCTCGGGTCCCAGCACCCGGTGGTCACAATTGTGGGAGTCGCGGTCCGTGAGAGCGCGATAGGCGACGGCCGATATATCTGTAGCGCTGACGAAGGGAATTTTGCCCTGTCCGCACGCAGTATAGATCTTGCTTTGGTCCCGGATGAGTTGGCGGGGGCCATCCTCGGTTAGATTCTCTAGCCAGCGAGCAACATCAGCACTATCCCTTCAACGACAACTCTGTGGCAGCTCACCCATAAACCAACTCGGCCGAAGAACACACCAGTCCACCTGCCTGTCCAGGAAATGCTGCCAGACCATGCCCATGCCCGGCTTCCCGCATTCGGCCGAGCTACCGGCCACGAGGACGAAGCGACGGACGCCGTGCTCCTCGAGCGCGTAGTTGATGAACTCATTCAAGGGCTTCCATGGCTCTGGCGCCTGGGGCTCCATCAGATAGATGGCGGAGATTACCTGGTCATTGACAAACTTGTAGTCGAATGGAATTTGCCAGGTATCCTTATCAAGCCAGTCGAACTTGACAGCCGGCATGTCGGGGGGCGCGGCGGACTGGCCGCGGCGGGAAGCCAGTAGGAAGGGGATATTATCATTTTGGAGGAAACGCGCTACTCGGATCGATGTTTTGCCCGAGCCTCCAGTCAAAAGGATTGCCATGATGAGTGTGTGCGATATCGTTAAATGAAAGTATGTATCTAGGGACAAGTTTGTGCTCGCACATTAGGGTTGGAGCCAGATCTCAGCCAAACCTCCCTTTTAAAGCCCAATCTCTTCTGCCGGAGTTAGGATTTAAGATCGTGAGGTCCGACGTGGGGAGCAAAGTCCGTCGGACCTGAAGCTCCGGGGCAAAGGGACAGGGGATATGTCAAGAAATGAGCATTCTACTGGCTCGATTCGAGATCCGAAGCCCGCCACGAGCAGCTTTAACGCGCTGACAATGAAAGTTCATTTTGCCAGTTCTTCTACAAGTCGCTGTATGTGCTGCAGGGGCATCGCAAGACATGGTACACCAGGGCGATTTTTCTAGCTCAACACACTGCCTCCTTGTGGAACTTATACCGAGGCGATCATGGCGGATCTGGTTGATAAGTAGCTGTAGCTACACGCCTGTGTCCTGCAACGGAATCAGGTGGATTGGCTATAGTTCTTTGCCAAGGAGTCTTGGATACCGCAGGTGACTCTGTTGAGCTTGTTCCCTGTGAGATAAAATCACGTAGTGTCTCTGTGTCTCTCAGTCTATAGTTGAATGCTCAAGCTCTTTAAGCTAGGTAAAGCCGGTTACTAGTTAGTCTGGTCTATTGTACAGCTCATCCATAACAAATGTACAAACATACTCTTACCTCTATCTTATATCCTATTAATAATGCTTTAGGAACATAGTAAGATAGTGCTCTTTACTAATACTATCCCTGACGTGTGGTCACTGCTTATATCCACTCGTAGTATATGCAGCTCGCAAGGGTTCACCCGAACTCCCCCAAAGGATGAAGTCACTTGTAATCTGATTGATAGTAGAGTAGCACATGACGGCGGACAGTCTTATATAAACAGTAACCTAGGTCATTTTATGATAAATTCTGATGATCTCCAGATTACCTTACCATAATCCTTCCTTATTATCAAGAGATCCAATCTTCCAATCGAAAGAAGAAAATGACTTGCCCAGCGTCGACCGCCACCAGTCGCTATGGCCGCGATCCCAACAACCACCCTGACCAAAAAGAATTATCCAACATCATCAGCAACCTAGATTGCGGCTCTGACGGCAACGCTCCCTTTGTTCTCGGCACAGACGGTGTCCTCCGTACTCTGACACCAGACTGTGACGTGATAGACGCCATTGGCCTTCCACCTCAACTGATCAAAGCTTTTCTCGATCGGACTACATTTGACCAGGAAACAGAAGACATGTTTCGCGGAGCAGATGGAACGAAAGTGCCTCGCGAGCAGTGGTGGAAGCCAGATCCATCGTTATTACCGCCACCGATGACCCCGCAGGATAAAGCACACGTCGAGAAGCATAATGAGGAGAACAAGAAAATCATTCAGGAGAATATTAGGAAGATGGAAAGTGGTGAACTGGAACCATGCGGCGTTGTTATTCGGTCGGATTACGATATCAGTCCAGGGTAGAGACAGAGATTCCTACCTATGTGAGTCACAATGATTCGTGATATTGGATGCCATTTCCACTTTTTATGTTCGGTATACCGCCTCTTTCAGTATGTTCAATGACCTGCTCGTAGAGTAGCTTGAATACCAGAGAAAGATGTGGGTTCCTGTTTACAATCATGGTTACAAGGAAAGATCTATTCTGCTGTCATTTGCATTCTGCCCAGAAAGTCCTGGCATAGGAAACGTACTTGTCTCCACAGGATGATAATATTGGTAACTGCTTTGTGAGAGAGTTAGTAGCTTGGAAATGATCCCGATGCACCTGCATGTTGACGACAGCATTCAATATTACTGTCCCCAACAACGTTCTTCGTCCAACCAATTCTGATTATCTGCTGTTGGCTCTGTCCTCATGCGGCCTTTCCGGGCGTGCTGATGCTGACACTATATTCAAGAGAGTGAGGCATTTCTTATATTGGCGCAGCATCCCAAGCATTAGATAGAGCAATTCAATGAGATAGTATCCATTGCCAATCAACTTCTGTTACTGATTAATGCTACGTAGCTGCCTGACAAATCCTTGTAGATGAGGAGTATGAGTAATTAACATAACCAATGAGCCAGGGCTGGGGGGACGCGGACATATAGCAGCCCCAGATACTTCACCCGATGCCATACATGAGGGAAGGGAATCATCATAGCATCGAGCAGGCTCGGATAGAAGGCTTCCGTGAACATCATACTTCGAATTACCTGGGAGATTGTTTTTTCTGCATGTTGTCCATCATACCACCGAGCAAAAGTCGGATGGCTCTTGGTCTACACATGTAATTTGTCGTCCTGTTACCTATAAGTACCCTAACTGTACTCCTTGATTACACCTTCATCATTTCCCTTCCTTTTAACTGCAATCTTTTGTTATAATAGTCGACATCACAATGCGCCTCACCATTAAGGAAATTTTTTCTGCTCTTCATGCCGCTGCTGCTACCTGCGCAGCTGCACCGGTGAGTGCCCCTTTGACGCATTATGCTATATCACACCTCTCCTAGTATGTATTCTAGACAGAGGAACCCTCCTGGAGAGATTTGATGTCTTCCTTTGAAAGTACAAATCTGACAGACTTCATTCATTTGGGTGATGACCGGGTTCTGAGACACTTCAACGAATCGGGCGCTGTTCTTAACTATGCACCACTGAGCCCGCAGCAGATCAGCCAGGCGCTTTCCGATACTTCCTCACGCGACGCCTTGGAAGACAAGGAACGTTTTTCCGAAGTATTCAGTGGTGTGGATGGTCGTACTGTCAGGACTCCGGCTCTCCTAAATCCACCGGAGGAAATTTACCCAACAAACCTCCTCAACGCCAAAAGCCATCAGATACGTTCGAAGTTCCGCGATTTGATCTCGGTCTGGGCCCAAGACAACATTGTGCTTCTCGTGCTTGCACTCCCAAGGACAATTGTAGGAAGTATGCAGGATGCACACGTTGTTTCGTTATAGATAATGCTCATGAAGGAGAATGTCAATAGTTAGTTTAGGCATACTGCTCACTACCAGGGTTTACAAGGAACTGTTGCCAGTCCAAAATATTCGCATCAGATACCAAAATGCTCGGCATCAAGCAGGATATGTTGTCATTTACAAGCCATTCATATTTTGTTCAAACTGAGGCTCGTTGGCACGTACCATCTCATTCCCTTAATCTAGGGCTCTGGGCTTCCGTTCCCGCGTCTACGAGCATTGCCCCAATTAGGAAGGCATGATAAGCTAGGAAGAGCCAGGGAGTTGACATCTGGCTTCTTGACGCGGGGGACGAGCGGAAGAATCCGCCCAGCATGGAGGACCCAATTTGTTGCCGACGAGGCGTTATTCCCAGTCCCTGAAATGCCCTATCGGGGCGGGCCAGGGCAGCAGCTGAACGCCCAAACCCACGGCTCCTAAAGCCAGAACCCTTTAGACATACCCAAGGAAGTTGTAATGTACGAGCGATGCCCGATGGGCGAAATCTTGCGGCTCTCAATGATTATAACCCGGATGCTGGAGTACGACCATTTATGGTATACTAACAACCTACCATGAGGCTTCCATGGGACTCTTCGTCTTTCCCACTAATTAGATCGAAACTTACCTCTCGTACAAATGTCTGGAGAACGTAGGATGTAACGCCTGGGCGGATACTCGGATCGTGCCATTTGTCTTTGCTTGCTTTGTCTTGGTTGTTTCTTTCCATCCATTGGTTGAGTTCTATACCTTGTTGGAGGGCGTTGGCTTGGTCACGGGTTAGGATGCCATGCTTGGTGACTAGAATGTCGAGCTCTTGTATATAATGCCTAGGAGTCGCTCATCGCTCACGAGTAAGGAAATCCGAAGATCGTTCACTGCCAACGTCGCTAGCTGTCAAAGCACACCTTGTAGCAGCAGGCTGGACTCGTCTGGGAGAAGCGTTGAGACCACCCGATGTATCTTTTCAGATCCATTACTATACACAGAATATATGCATCATCTCTGTTGAAGTGAGGAAAAATACATTAACGGAAGATAAAGTTATCTTATTTGGTTTCCTATAGGGTATATACTATATTAGTCTGTCTTTTTCCATCATCGTCAGTTCATAGATAAATTGGCTGCATCAAACTGACAAGAGGAGATAGCTATGCACTCATATATGCCCAAGAACAGACTACGAAGTACCCTCACGATAAACCTCAATCAAATTCTTCAACCACTCGGCTCTCGTCAGCTCACGCTCGCCCCCATCAGCCATTTGCTTCGGCAGCCGCTGCTCCAAAACAACAACTCTCCAAAACTGATGTGCCTGGCATATCCGGATCCGCATATTCTGCTCCTCGTACTTTGTCATACAGGCCGAGCAGAGGTCTGTAGCCGGACACTGCTCGCAGATGAAGCGTATGTCGGACTTTGGGATCACCTTGTCACATACGTCGCAGTACGCATCGACTTCGGCGTATATTGCGCCGGCGGCCTGCTTGTCGTCGAGGTACTGGAGGCATTTGGCGAGCTTGTAGACATCTGATCGGTCGCCTTCCATGATGCGCGTGGCAAGGCCGACGACACTGGATTTCAGGATGGAGATCTGCTCCTCTGCCGACGTGAGGGATGTTATCGGACTATGTCGGCTGAGTTCACGAAGTAAGTCGCCGGAGTGATCAATCGATGCCCAGTCAATCGCGCTGCGGCCGTATACATCTAAGCAATGGTATTCTGCGCCTCTCCGCGCGAGACAAGTCACAGCTTTGGATTCGTTGCTGAGAATTGCATAATGAAGAGCCGGGATTCCGCGATGCTTCCCGTGGTCTGTGTGGAGGCCGATGTTGACATCTACTTTCCGGTGGACAAGATTCCCGATGATACGGGCTTCCCCTGTGATAGCAGCAACTTCCAGCACCGTACGGCCGGCTGCATCACGTACCATATAATCTAAGCCCTTGGCAGCATATGCTGCCAAGAGTCGATCGCAGACGACGTAGTTCGCTGCAGCGGCAGCTGAGTGTAACGGCGTCTGCCCCAATTCATCCCTTGCGGCGATATCCGCACCAGCGTTTATCAACATGGTGTATATTTCTGAATCTGTTTGGGAAGAACAGTGGTGTAGCGGTGTCCTCCCGTCTCTGGCACGTGCATTCACATCGGCACCTCTCTTTAGCAGCTCACGGGTACCCTCACAACTTCTGCTAGCTGCAATAAGAAGTGCGGTGTCGCCATTATTGTCTCTCGCCTCGATCGGTGTTCCCGCCTCCAAAAGTGGCGCAATTGGCTTATACTGGTTGTTAGCCACGGCATAGTGCAGCGCAGTCTTACCGTCAAACGTAATAGCCAGGGGTTCTGCTCCGTAGTCCAGGAGGTGCGTAATCAGTCTGGGCATGGCGCCGTGTGTGGCGGCGTCATGCAGAAGCGAGGTGCCATCTTGCTTCAGGCGAGCCACTTCGGCCCCAGATTCAAGGAGAAACTTGAGGGCCTCGGTGTGATTGTGGGCGATTGCACCATAGGCTGCTGACTCTCCTTGATGGTCGAGGCGGTTAGGATCAGCTCCTAAGCGAATGAGCTCCCTCATGGAATATAGGCAGTTATTAATCGTTGCTAAATACAAAGGTGTCCTTCCGAAGACGTCGGGAGCCTCAATATCCAGCCCAGCGTCGACTAGAGGCTGGATGACTCTGAAGTTGTCTTCAGTAGCAGCTACATGCAATGGCCCTGTCGAACCTGCTCGTTTGTCAATCGCGACGTGGGCTCCTGCATCAACCAGGGCTTTCACCAGTCGGGCATTTCCGGACTTAGCGGCCAGGAACAACGGTGTTCTGCTGTGCGGGTCGAGTGCGTTTAGATCGGCGCCCGCTTGGATGAGTCGCTCAATCATCTCCACAGGCCTCTTGAGGCTGATGCCTATGTGCAACGGTGAGACCCCGTTTTCATCGAGAACATTGGTATTGGCTCCAGCATCGAGCAGAAGCTCGAGAAGGGGAAGAGAGCCATAATGCATACACTGATGCAACGGCGTTTCACGAAGCAAGGTGGCGGCGTTGACATCAGCGCCGCTATTCAGAAGAAGCTCCACGGCGCCCAACTGGCCATTTACGCAGGCTAAATGGAGCGGCGTAGCATGCTGCCCATCTCTCACATTCACATCGGCGCCGTACAAAAGTAGCAGTTGAACAAGGTCTGTTTCGCCCATTTGCGCAGCAATATGCAAGGGCACGTCTCCCCTCCTCATCGGGGCGAGGGGGTCCCAACCAAAATCGATCAGCAGCCGGAGAATTTTAGGATTGGCTCGGTAGAGGACGCTATATATCGTATCCGCAGATAAGTTCCGCAGAGGTGAGGAGGTCGTCTTCGCAGCAGCTTCCAACAGGAGGCGGGCTGCACGCACGCGGTCCTTCACTAGCGCAAGGTTCAACGCCCCCATCCATGCACCATCTTCATCGGGATAACATCCAGGAGCAGCATTCAATAGGATACGTAATGGCGCTAGTCGCCAACGAGTCACAGCTATTGACAGGGGCGACTTGAGCTTGGTTATCGGTGTGGAGGCGCTAACGCTAGGTTCAACGAGAATTTTTAGGACCTTGGGCCTATAGCGCGTGATTGCTGCCAGGAATGCGCTATTCTTGCCGGCAAGTATTGAAGGGTCTGCTCCATTGTCGAGCAATTTTCTAACAGCTGAGATCGGGCAATACTGGACCGCGCGGATTAGTGGTGATGTTGTTTCGCCCACATGTTTGGCTCCGAGCGCATAAAGTCGGGCGGACAACAGGGTGTTGAACAACTTTGCCGTCTGAACAAATGAATTGAGGTCTTTCAGCCAGAGATAATCTCCTATGTCCAGAATAATCTCGGGAGGAAAGCTGACAAGCTGGGTCGCGGTGTCTTCCATTGCGGGGATGTAGGTGAGGGAAGAGTTGGGACTTTGGGGAAAGTCAATCCGAGCGGGCGACTCAGCTCAAACCCAGGCCTTAGGCAGCAAGGGCTCCTGTGTCCTACTCCAAAGTAGTTAGTTACCTCCCTGGTTTTAAGCTGCTGTCTTCAGCCTCTTGTGGCACTTGTCAATCATCCACCATAGAGGGACTACGAGCTGCTCATAGTCGCGGACGGGACGGCGTCCATGGAGCCGCACTTGAAGTCTTTGAACGCATCGCTTCCTCAGATTATCTCCGTCTCCGGACCACAATCAATGCCTAGCTCTGCTCCGCGATGACAACGCCGACGACGCTATTCTGGGCCCGGGGAGCCTCTATAAAGCTCTCTCCGAGGTACAGTATCTGTTTTGCAAAATGGAATAGCATATCGGTAAATGGCCTTTCACAATAAGAGTCTTCTACAGTGAATAAAGAAGCTACCTTACCAACAGTCTCCACCAACCTACAATATGTAGTTCACAAGCTGAAGTCATATTCAACTTAATCTGGCATAAAGGCAATCAATCAAACATAATCATTAATATATACTTGCTGTATGTTCAAAAGCAACAAGCATATCACCGTTGCATCCGAACACGAACAGCCAACACTAGCCTCATCGGCGTCCCAATTAGGAAGGTCCTGTCTTGGCCTCAGTTAACCAGTTATAAGTATAACCCTCCAACTCTTGAAACATCCCACATCATCATCCCACGGCCATCCAATCTCAAAACACCACAACCATGTTCCAAAGCAAAATCACCCTCCACCCCGCCGTCCCCGCTGACGCCCTGCCCCTCGCCCGACTCCACAACGCCGCCTTCGCCAACGACGGCCTCATGGAAAACATGTACGGCCCTCTAACCCAAGACGATCCCCCTTTTGCAAATGACCTGCAGAAAATCATCGCCGACGATCCACACTCCCGCATTACCAAAGCCATCGATACGCAATCAGGCCAGATTGTAGGCTGGTCAATGTGGAGTATCTACCCCGACGCCGAGGCGCTTGCCACCGCGGCAGAAGAGGCTAGGAAACGAGCGACCACGCCCCCGGCGTCGTCGCTGTGTCCGCAGTTGTATCTCGATTATCAGGAATCGAAGGCGAGGTTGAGGGAGAAGTGGATTGGGGGGAGGGCTGTTGCTAGTACGTCTGCCTTCATGTTTGCAGTGTCAATGTTTGATTTGGGTGTGAAAGTGGGGTGAGTGAGGCTAATTGCATAGGTAGTTCTGCAAGTGCTGGCTGTTCATCCGGACTACCAAGGTCGAGGGATTGGGACGAGGCTATTGATGGTTGGGGTGGAGGAGGCGAGACGGCTAGGCTTGCCTGCTTGGCTGGAGGCTTCGGAGGCTGGGTATAGCGTTTACAAGAGGTGTGGGTTCTACGATGCCGAACGGATGGAGTTGGATTTTGCGAAGTATGGGCTCAGCGGGATGGAGCATGTTTATTGTATGTTGATGGATGGTAAGCAATGCTCCGCCAGTACAGTTGACAATTGAGATTTGTACAAGTCGGCGTCGACGCTTAATATGCCTTGCATTAAAGCTATTCAAGTACTAGGTACGCAATTTTGGGCTGTGCATGAAACATATACACTAGGAGATTCATATCTCGTAAGAGTATCAACATCACAAACGAGCGGGAATAGTCTGCTTGCCCTTCAGATCAAACCGATCCAGGTTCATAACCTTGTTCCACGCCGCCACAAAGTCCTTGACGAACTTCATATCACCATCGTTGCTCGCGTACACCTCTGCAATGGCACGCAGCTCAGCATTCGAGCCGAAGACCAGGTCTGCACGAGTAGCCGTCCACTTCTTGCCACCAGTCTTGCGGTCGCTTCCCTCGAACAGCTCGCCGTTCCCGGCGTCCTTCCACGCGGTGTTCATGTCCAGCAGGTGCACAAAGAAGTCGTTCGACAGGGCTCCAGGACGGGAGGTGAAGACGCCGTGCGCGGAGCCATCGTAGTTGGTGTTGAGCACACGCAGACCACCGACGAGGACGGTCATCTCGGGTGCAGACAGCTCCAGCAGCTGGGCCTTGTCGACGAGGTAGTGCTCCGCGCGCGGGCGGGCGGGGCCCTTGGCGAAGTTGCGGAAGCCATCGGCGAAGGGCTCCATGTGGCTGAACGACTGAACGTCCGTTTCCTCCTGGGAGGCGTCCATGCGACCGGGGGTGAACGGCACCTTGATCGGGTGGCCGGCGTCCTGCGCGGCCTTCTCGACGGCAGCGCAGCCAGCCAGGACGATGAGATCGGCGAGCGAGACCTTCTTGCCGTCGCCGCGGGAGTTGAAGCGCGACTGGACAGCCTCCAGCGCGGAGAGGGCCTCGCGCAGCCAGGGCTGGTTGTTGACCTCCCAGTCGCGCTGCGGGGCCAGACGGATGCGTGCGCCGTTGGCACCGCCGCGCTTGTCGCTGCCGCGGAAGGTGGAGGCGGCGGCCCAGGCGGTGGAGATGAAGCTTCTAGGAGGCACCCCGGAGGCGAGGATCTCGTCCTTGAGCGTGGCAATGTCGGAAGCTTCAACGAGCGGGTGGTTGACGGCGGGGACAGGGTCCTGCCAGACCAGCACCTCGCTGGGAACCTCGGGGCCGAGGTAGCGGACGCGGGGGCCCATGTCACGGTGGGTGAGCTTGAACCAGGCACGGGCGAAGGCATCGGCGAACTGGTCCGGATGCTCGAGGAAGCGGCGGGCGATCTTCTCGTAGGCGGGATCGAAGCGGAGCGACAAGTCGGTGGTGAGCATGGTGGGCTTGCGCTTCTTGGAGGCATCGTAGGCGTGGGGAATGATCTCGTCCGCGTTCTTGGCAACCCATTGGTGGGCGCCGGCGGGACTCTTGGTGAGCTCCCACTCAAACTTGAACAGGTACTCGAGGAAGTCATTGTTCCACTGGGTGGGGGTCTTGGTCCAGGTCACCTCGAGTCCGCTTGTGATAGTGTCGGGACCCTTGCCGGAGCCATGCTTGTTCGCCCAACCGAGGCCCTGGGCTTCCAGGCCGGCGGCTTCGGGCTCTTTGCCGACGTTGTCCGCAGGAGCAGCACCGTGGGTCTTGCCAAAGGTGTGGCCACCAGCAATGAGGGCGACTGTCTCCTCGTCGTTCATAGCCATGCGGCCAAAGGTGACACGGATATCGTGAGCGGCCGCCACGGGATCCGGGTTACCATCGGGTCCCTCGGGGTTGACATAGATCAGACCCATGTGGGCGGCGGCCAGAGGGGTCTCGAGCTCCCGCGAGTGGGTGGTCTTGTGTGAATCCTCGTCGGCGATGAGGGTGCCACGCTTATCCGATCCAGCAAATCCCTTCTCGTACCGCGCGTCGTTGCCCAGCCAGGTGGTCTCTCGTCCCCAGTAAGTGGCCTCGTCCGCCTCCCAGGTGTCTGGACGACCTCCACCAAAGCCAAAGGTCTTGAAACCCATAGACTCCAGGGCGACGTTACCGGTGAGGATTAGCAGATCGGCCCACGAGATCTTGTTGCCGTACTTTTGCTTGATGGGCCAGAGCAGACGGCGAGCTTTGTCCAGACTGACATTGTCGGGCCAGCTGTTCAGGGGGGCAAACCGCTGCTGGCCCTGACCAGCACCTCCACGACCGTCAAAGACACGGTAGGTTCCGGCGCTGTGCCAGGCCATCCGGATGAAGAGACCTCCGTAGTGACCGAAGTCGGCGGGCCACCAGTCCTGCGAGTCGGTCATCAGGGCACGAAGGTCCTTCTTCAGGGCCTCGTAGTCGAGGCTTTTGAATGCGGCGGCATAGTCAAAATCAGCATCCAACGGGTTAGACACAGCGGTGTGCTGGCGCAGGATGTTGAGCTTCAGCCGGTCAGGCCACCAGTCCTTGTTGCTGGTACCGCCACCAGCGAAATTGGGCTGAGAGGCCTGCTCCTTGAAGGGGCACTTGTCCTGTGTCATGATGTGCTTGTGTTGCTATTATCAGGGGGTATATGGATGATCAACGAGGAGGACAGGAGATGACAGAAGATGAGGGGTAGATGAAACCTTATAAGCTGAGCTGTCCTCGTCTAGGCCAGGTCTCATTAATAACTCGTCCAATCCAGCATATCATTCAGATCAGCAGGTGCTTTCCCCGCATTCCACTGAGATTTTATTGCTGCAATTGTAATAGAAAATGTTCTGGCTGGACCTTCTTACTCAGCTCCCATCAGCCTATGATATCATGCAACAGTTTTCCCCGCTTTGTCTGAGCCAATCACAATGATATATTGCTAATCCTGCTGACTGTACATTTGCAATCGTCGGCTATGACTGGCTAGTTCCCTCGGCATACCCCGCTTTCCTTTTCCGCCTCCTCGCGTCGCGCCGTTGTCCGAATAACACCAGTTGTTATTATTGATAGAGGATATGCTGTGTATAAATGTCCAATATGGCCAGGCGTAGAACTGCTTGCTAACTGACAAGTCTCTACTACTATTTGTCCAACAAACAGGAAAGTTGTCTGCATGCCGAAGCCAAAAGAACTCGCCATATTACCCCTCAGGCCGACTTACCTAAAGAAAAAGTACCGTAGCGGATTCACATTCCTTTTTAGGACAAACAATACCATAAGAGTATGTCCCAAATCACCCTCGGCAATTGCTGTAGGAAACTGAAAAATAGTCTCTTTCTTGCCTGGACAGGAGAACTAGAGGTCCTCTCTCTGTGTTATGGAAGAAAATATGAGATCTCCTTCTGCGTAGGAAATTTGGTCATATTTGACAGGTCAGCAGCCTGAAGCCTAAGTAGCGATACAAACCCCAACATCACAATCTAGATATTTATTCATTTACTTAATATGAACAAGAAACACCGTTATTCTCCAATCGCTAGAGATGATTCCCCACGATGATTATTGGGGTCCTGCAATTAAGCGTATTGATACTCATTTTGTTTCATCGGAGTGATACGGAGATATATCTTTTCGATGTGCCTTAAGAGGAGCCCGCAAGATCAACAGTCTATCAAATCATCGGTTCTGTATCACAAATAATGACTGATTTTTTAATTCAGTATCACCCATTTTGCTCTTCTGCTTCTATTCGCCATTTTGCGCATATAATATGGACACCATCGTCAACGATGCAGACTTGACTCCAGAGTAATGCAATCTAGGCCTGCTGCTCGTCCTAACCCAAATACATTCTATTAATTCTCCTTTGCAGTAGAATATTTAGAACATCAAATACAACTTCAGTTATCATAGTAACAACAGAATTACTTCACTATCTGCATCCCGATCTATTACCCAGTCAAGATGGCTGAGTAGTACCAGGTTGCCGCCCTAAGCGTGGTAAATGTCTCCGAGATACTTTTCAGTAGAGCCTTGGCCAGAGGCGTATCTGCAAATCCATGCTTGAATTCAACCATGAGACAAACAGCCTGAGCGCGAGGGAGACTCACCCTCTGGATCAATCCATCTGTTTGCTCTGCCCTTGGATGTAGAATAAATCACATCCTGCAGACTCTGCATCGAAGGTAGCACGATAAGCATTGTTAGCGGGGTAGTCCTACAATGAATGACAGGAGTGAGCAGACCAAACCCCTGGTAAATAGCAGCCACAATCAAGCACCGATGCTAGTTTCGACACGTAGAATGATCAACGCGTCAAGATGTGGAAGATGTGGAAGTCAGTATGGAAAAGGGGAACAAGCTTCGTAACGTTCAAGGACTGGATGACCAGTTTGGCGCTCAGGCCAGCAGATGTTATTGTGACAGGCCTTAAGTCGACGTTGAGGTCATCAAGCTGATTATTGAGGAGAAACGGTTAATAGTGAGGGGTAAACAACCGTTCATGATCCTAGGTCATGTGCAGGGAAGGTTAGTTCGAGTGATGTGCTGTAATAGGTAATATAGTTCTGGTAGTGACGCGCGAGTCGCGACCACTTGGGCGCGGAGAGTTGGGCAGTATTGAGATATGTTCAAGCACTACCTTTTTCAGAAGCTCTCGGAGCTCGGCACACGGCACAGTAGTAGCAGCAGGACTATTATTCAGAAGAAAGCATCTGGTGACCATGATATCAAGAAGAATCTTCTAGTGGGCTTTTGTATCAGTTAAGCGACCCACCGATTAGACTACTACGGATGCACCGGGTCGCGGCGATCGAACTGGCCTACCCACCTCGGATTCTTGATTCATCAACACAGTGACGATGTTTAGAACACATCCTGAAGGTAATAACAGGATCAGGAACTTGCAATGTTGCAATGCCTTGAAGTAAATCAAGAGATACCATGGACAGACCGCCCCCGCTAAACAAGAAGCGACTCGCTACCAATAACAACCCAACGTAAAACTGACGATAAACCGACGAGCACAGAAGCTAGCTTTATAATCCTCGCAGGGCTGATTGATCTCCACCACTTTATTGGTGATTCCACTCAATGCCGAAGTTCGAAAATCCGGACAGCCAGCGAGCGGAAGCCACGGCAGTCCACATCGACCCATCGCTCTCTCGCTCTCGTCTCTGTATGGCGTCACTGCTCCACCCCGCCCATCTTCTGGCTGGTTCGACAGCTCCTAGCTGTACATCCATCACATTGAGAACATGACCTGTGTTGCCATCGGGCCGAAGTTGACGATGGACCGTTGGGAAATTTTTCAGGGATCAATGATCGCATGGTGCGATGGTATTGGTGCGTCGACTATTTCCATCGGCTGATGCCGGTATGACATAATTAATAGCTTCACTTTTCCCCTTGCTGCAGTTGGACCTCGCCATGATATATGAAGGGCTGGAAAGACCTCCGAACTGAGTCTTTCTCAATTCCAATCTCAGAAGTAATAAAGCAGTCCTTGTCGCCGGCAGCTTCAACACCTAGTCAAGCCGTCACAGATCCCATTCCCAACCACAGTCGAGGAGTTTGATATCGCCATAACACATTCAGCATCATGGTGTCGACAACAATCACTCGTCCTGTCGCTTTGCTGGTGCGCTTCATGCAATGGTCCAGCGCTGTCATTGTCATGGGCATTACCTCCTACTTCATCAACAAGTGGCCCCATGGACAGCACACCATCTACTGGGAAGTCATTGTATGTTGACCCGTCTCTATTCATCCATCTACATATGCTAACTTGCCATAGTCCACGATGTCCGTTGTCTTCTTCCTGCCGGCCTTCCTTTCCCCCTTCATGCCGACTCGCCTGAGCAAGTTCGTCTTGCCCATTGACATCATCTTCTCCTATCTGTATGTGAAGCTGCCCTTTAGACATCCTTGCTGCGATACTAACATGATTAGGTGGTTGACCGCGTTCGTCTTCGCTGCACAAGACTACAACTGGCACAACTGCGCTGCCAACGCTCCTCCCGGTGCTAGCTGCGCACTCAAGAAGGCCAATGAGTCGTTCATCTTCCTCGCCTTGTAAGTGGTCCGATTACACTACAGATGAGCCATACATGTAGCTAACCCTGATCAGTATCTTCACCTTCTTCGCCATCGGTCTTGAAGTGATGAACCTCTGGACCGCACGCCGCGAGACTCCCACCCACGAGAAGCACCCTGAGGGTCACCGTGCTCCCCTCGATGCTCCTGCTGCCAACCCTTAAGCTCCTCAGTGCTAAGGGAATCCGGCGACTCTGTTGCCAGGCACTGATCGCCAAAGTGTCCTAATCTGTTGACCAACTTCGAGCCAAGTCAAATCATTGGTTGGTCGTCTATTCAAGGGATGTACATCCCTGTTTGATTTTATAATGTCGCGACTTGACTGACGCCCAGCGCGATCATATCTTAATTCCTAATACCTAACGACTCGGTCACGATTTTGTTGTGTATGTATAATGATTAGTGTTATGTCGCTCGTTATGTGTATGGATAATGCATGAAATAATAGCGAATGATTATTTAATTGTTAGATATACTAGCCTCTCACTGCATTCTCCTTAATGGCATAAGGTATATCTCAAGTCGAACCGAAATTTATTGAGGAACTGGTTTTCCAGCATGTTTATACCGAGAGGATCAACGATATAGATTGCGACCATCATTGCGATACACTGCGAGATATTATAGCAGAACCCGTAGTCGAAGCTTTCTAGCCTCGAAAGAGAATTCTGAATTGCCAGGTCTACGTCGAAGTGTGGTACGGATACAAGAGAAACTGGACAAATTGAAGTAAACATGCGATAAGCTCGACCGACTCATATGCGCGTCATTGGTGCAACATCTGTGCATTAACTTTCAGGTACTTTTTCTGAGACAGAAGGTCAGGGCAGAACTCTATGCTTATGCAGCTTCATAATGCGTTTGTTTGACAATGTTGAGGTGGGTAGATGCGGGACGCGATCAGGGCGAACATTGGTGGTGATGTCACCGCGCGGTCATTGAGATAAACCATCGTCACAACAAAATCAAGTCATTCCACGTCCTTTTCTCCTTTTAAAGTCAGTCCTCTCAATCAAGCATAACTCAATAAAGCGACAATCTATCCCTATAGTTGAACTGTTCATACGAGATCGCCGCAACATACCGCGATTCCACAGACATCAGCGGTGCAACCTTCGGTGGAGATGACTTCGGTATACAGCAAGGTCAAAGAGCTGACCACAGCATCGATTGCCCGGGTCCTGACAGTCTGGGGCTACCTTAGTGCCTTCCTACTATCCTTCACGATCAATCGCGCCTTCTTGGCCTCCGCACTCCTTCCGCTCTACCTTCTAAGCCTTGCATATCGCCTCTTGCCCACGATATTGTGGAACGCACCGCGGCTACTCTGGCCAAATGGATGGAAAACACTCATGAAAGATGCGGAGCAGTACCGACAGCGGGCAGATTCCCTAGCCCAATCGCAGCTGGAGGGAAAGTACAAGTTCAAAGATGATGAGATCATCCGAACCGACCAGAAGGCCAAAGGATGGATGGCCGATATGCCATGGAGGGACAATGTGGAGGAGATTAACGTGTGCGGCGCGACGGCCCGATATGTTCATCTGAAACCGAGTTATCGCAGCATCGCAACGGACAATAAGGCTTCCCACCGGCCGATCGTCTTTCTGCATGGGAATCCGAGTTGGAGCTATATGTGGAGAAATGTTAGTTCATGTCCATTTTCCACTGCTATGGTGCCTACTGACCGATGTGCAGGTATTTCCCGCGCTTGTGGAACGAGGACATGAGGTATATGCCCTGGACTGGCTTGGACATGGTCGCAGCGACAAGATCATTCGTCCGGAAGCCATCACCTTTGAGCTACACATGCGTACCCTGCAGCAATTCTTCGAATTGACTGGTCTGGAGAATACTACTCTCGTGGCTCATGACTGGGAAGGGTGAGTCTACCATCCATCGTCGCATTCCCTGTTTACTGACTTGTCCAGCTGTGTCGCCTTATCCACGCTACCGCGACTTCCAGCATCAGCCTGCACCAGTCTCTTCTTATTGAACTCCTTCCTTCCCCCCCGCCTCAGCGAGATAAGCATGCATCACGCCCTCCTTTACGCAATTTGGTTCATGACAACCGGGATTCTCGGCGGGTGGACCCCCGAATCCGCAGTCATGCGCTTCATGTCTCCAAGCATCACACAGACGGACGTCACCGGCTACTCCGCGCCCTACAGGAATCTCCCCGCAAAAGCCAAATCCAGCATTTACCGCTTCTCGCATATGGCCCCCGCTACACCCCGCGTAGTCCTGACCGGTCTCCGACACACATGGCTGTGGAAACTAGTCGAGGGCCTCGCCGGACCATCCAACTTCGATAACCTCACTGCTCAGGCGCGACTTTCTCTTCGCAACGACGAGGTCCGGAGTTACTGGAAGTCTAGCGAGAGAGCGCGCCAGTTAGAAGTTGCGGTTGTCTTTGGGGACAAGGACCCGTTGTTGAAAGACTACAAGGACGTTCTGGTGCGCGCTGTTGATTCGCGGGTCATGGTTGACTGGGCCCCTCATGGAACTTGGCTAGATGGTGCCGGTCATTATCCAGCCGAAGAAAAGCCGAAAGCAGTTGGTGACTTGATTGCTAGGCTTGCCAGATATCGCGAACCTACCGTGATGCGGAGGTAAGAACTGCGCATTTTAGGTTGAGGGGTGCCCTTATGTTACATGTTTCTTTTGTTTCACATAGCTGTACTTCCGTGGTTACATGGCTATAAGACGATGAATAGACTCGGATGGCGCAAGGTCACGAGAGTTTGTCTGTTTCGTAGACAGACCGTTGTCCACCAGTAAATGCTAAAGATACAGCCAAGGAATCTAGAACAATGAGTAATCAACAAGGTGTCTTTCTCTGGACCAGATGAGTTCTAGTCCATGGCTGGTGCAATGCAAACGCCGTACCAGATTCCGCCTTCTCAGGCTTGGGAACTGATATACCCTCGGCATCCAGGTCCTGATGGTGCTAGGAAAGTGGCGCTGGTGCCATAAATCCCAGAGGACTATCCCCTCAGCCACATTTCAAGCCGTGGACGGCCAGATGCACCAAGTCTTCCATGTTCAGACCCTTGGTGAAGCAGCCACTATCACAGCCACTGGTACCCAACAAATGTGCAGGTGGATGCCATGGCATAGTTACTGTGCTGAAAATTCATCCTCGGCATGTGGAGGGCGAGAATCGCCGTATTAGGACGCTGAGTCATCTCACCCACACACCGCTGGTACCTGCAGAACAAGAAAATGAGGTATCTCGTTGAAATGGCTCAACTGGGCCGGAGCCCCGACAGCAGGACATGATTATCGCCACCGCAGACCACAGACCTTTACAGTAAAATAAGGGCAGCTGTGCATGGCTGCTGTGTTGTACCTCGCTAAACTCTTTCAAGTCAACAATAACAATTATGATTGGCTGGAGCCAGCACACAATCCACGGCTGGGTCTGGACTCCCGATGGAACAGGAACTGGTCTAGCCTGAAGGGGAACAGTGGTTTGTATTATCCAATAAGAATCTGCCAAATGACGTAGGATCCGTGGAACACATGGCCATTGATTGTGTTCCTGAACTCTGATTTTCAGAGTTTTCCAGTGCCTGGCAGGGCTCTTTTTTTGTTCCCTGTCCCGGCTCCATGGGATGTGTCATAGTTGGATGTGATATATCTCCGCGGGTTCTTTGTACCTGCATGAAACGCATAAAGAAAAGGGTTCAAAGTAAGTGATGTGTTCGTTGTCTGCATGTCTGAGTACATCTGCTCCTTTGTAAGTCAGTGGCCTAGGCCATGGCCAAAATCTTACAGAATTCTCTCTGTCGCTGGTAACATGTGATTTGTAGAGAAAGGACCAGGGCATAAAACTGAGTTAGACCGATGGGAGGCAAAAGTGAAAACCTTTCTTCGAGTTCGCGATATCCTCATCTTTCAGCCAAGTGCCGTTGGCCTCCGGCCCAGTCTTGTCGTTTGGCGCCGGCGCTAACTGAGAAATTTTGATTCCTTGTGGGGCGTGCAATAGATTCAGTCTGTTCCTCTCAATATGATTTGTGCGATGGTTCAGGCACACCGTTTCTGCATCTATATCCAATCTCGTGGCGCCCAATCAGCTCTTGCCAGACAAAGAATGGGTTTTGCTTCCACTTCCCTTCAAGGCTTAGGATTTGAGGCGTTCGATTTTGTGTGCCCAAAAGATTCTCGAACGTCTTGGAGATGGCCCACTCCCCATGCTCACCGCAGATGATAAATTCAGCCATGCCCCCCATGTTGTTTCAGTCTTTTCCATTCCTTCAACACTACTATCAAAGTCATTCATTCCTTTTGACTCTTTGACTCGAGGTTGATCCTCCACTGTCCTTCACTTTAAATCGTCACTCTCTGTAGATCAGACTGTTGTCACTCCTTCCAACAACAACAACAACAATCACCACCAACACAATCATCATGTCTTTCTCCAAGTTCTTCAGCCTCGCTGCTGCCTTCGCCCTTACGGCTTCGGCCCTCCCTCTCGCTCCCCGCGCCACCAGCGGCGGCGTCCAGATCGTCAACAACATGAGCGAGGACGTCTATCTCTGGTCCGTCTCCGACTCCAGCAGCGAGATGCAGACCATCCCCACCGGCGCCTCCTACACTGAGGCCTGGCGCACCAACCCCAACGGCGGCGGCATCTCCATCAAGATGTCCACCGCCGCTGACCTCGGCTCCGTCCTTCAGTTCGAGTACACCGAGGCCGGTGAGACCCTCTTCTGGGATCTCTCCTCCATCAATCTCTCCCCGCAGTCTCCTCTCATCGCCGCCGGCTTCGGCGTATCCATCGATGATGCCAGCTGCCCCACCGCCGCCTGCGCCCCTGGCGACGTCAACTGCGCCGAGTCTTACCAGTTCCCCGATGACCACAACACTCGTGCCTGCGGCACCGGTGCCGCCTTCACCCTCACCCTGGGTTAAGTGCACTTGCAACTCTGTGTGCTGGCCATGAACATCTCGTTCCTCTTTACGCTCATTTTCTACCCCTGGAGGATATGAAAGTTGTCAGGAACACATCGAGGCAGGCCTTGTTTTACGAGTCATGACTCATACGGCTCACGATTATGCCGAGGATGGATTATACCAACGATGATTTACCTACACCAAAATGCAAACATGTCAATAAATTGATAAAACATATAGAGTGCAATTGATTTGATACCTTTCTCAAGTCCTACCTTAGCTACTGCGGGGTGAAATTTGTCTCGTATGAGCGTAGTGAGTGTAGTTGTATCTCACGGGGTTGTCTTGCACTCTGGTGTTGTGTAGTGTCCCGCCGGCGCTGAATGAACTTTATATTGACCCACTTTCTTCCTTTGAACTCTATCTAGATACTTACGGTCTAACTAGATCGGGTACGGTCGAATATCCCGTCTTCATGGTGTACTGATTGTAATTTGGCTTGCTTGTGGCTTGGGCTGTGGCAGTTCTAGAGCTTGTTGAACCTGGGCCCAATCAGCCATACGACCACTGGGTGTCTCTGACTGAGCATGCAGGATACCAATGACAACAATGCAGTGACATGTCCTAAGACATTATCCTTGGTAGCACAACAGCTAATGCGATATTGCGGCAGCTGAAAGTCCACATGATACTGTGCATGATTCCTTCAGCAAGCTGTATACTGACTGCATTTGGAAATCGATGGATGATATCCCGGGTTTCAAACTGAGCATTTGAGTTTGGTGGAGACGAACAGGGTGCAAGGCGGTACCTCTGTCATTATTGGCTGTGTTAGTCTTCGCGGTAGATGAGGAAGAACGAGGTAAAACATGTCTGAAGCTTAAGTACGTGGTGAGGCATGATTTGCCGAGATGGAGAGGTTTTAGGTGGAGTCAAGTATCGGTATGCTGACGATAAAGTCCTATATACCGCCCCAGGAGAAACAATAGAGACAAAAATGGACGAGGGATGCGGATCAAGAGAACGTCACATGGAATAGAAGAGGAATGTCTGTGGAGAGGTTCGAGGTCCGTATGGAACACATGACTATCGAAGTGATCGTTGTCCGAAAAGGAAACTGGCAGGACGCTATGCCAGGCGCCTTATTGACGTTGTATGCTTCTATTTATGGACTTGATTCCTTTTCAATCTAATCAAGACACACCGCAGTTACATAACAAAGAGGAAATAGTATCTTCCTACACTCGAACTTCAAGTTGCGTTTTGCCCGCGACTGAATGTAGCCATCGGAACTCCAATGGTTGCATCTCATTCAAAGTCCTCCAACTTCAATCCATTCATTTTAGCCTCTAGATCCCTGCGGACAGGATCAAGGAGGGTTCCAAGTCTGCAACTGTGCCATTCAGGGCGCCCCTTCGTTGATAGCCTAGCCTCCCAGAGAGGAGATCGAGCAAAGAGAACCACGCTTCTAGTTAAGGATCCAATGCTCAGGTTATCATAAGGAGGTCTTGGATCGGGAAAGATGAGATTGGAGAGTCGTAAGAATTTCATCAAAGCACCAAGCAGTATTGAACTACATTCGAAAGAGCATCTATTTGTGGAAGAGCTCAGGTCATCGATTACCCGATCAACGGCGGCCAGAGCCTCTCTGATTCCCTGCTGTCGAGATTCGTTGATTGTTTCTGCGGACGGATTAGCAAAGCAGTACAGTTACGTAGGTATCATAGATAATACGAACCAATCACTCTGTTAGGAATCGGGAGTCCGTAGGCATGTACCACTCCAGGACTCTCAACGAGTGCAACCCGCGTAGCAGCGAAGAACTCGGTCTGCTTGCGAAACACCCATGCAATGCATATCCACTGAAAAACAGCTTTTCCAAAAGTCTTCGGCATATCAGCCTTCAACTCATCGATCCAGATATCCGCGAAGACCTCCACAACCCCGCGACACTGATAATAATCAACCATCACAGCGATTTTGGCTAGAGTGTCTAGATCAACCTTGCGAGGGACCTTGGGCGCGTAGCCATGCATGATGTTCATGATGATGAGCGTGATGTCAACGTCCCAAATGTCCATGATGATAACTGCAATGCCTTCGGAGCGGATCTCGCGTGCCTCGTGCCAGTTGCCGTTGAACATGCGGCTGAAGACGGGGGAGGCGAGGGCCAAGTGTCTTGAGGAGACGCGCATGCCGATGAGGCTGCTCTCGAAATGTCCTTCTTCCCTCGCGTCACTAACTTCAGAGGTTGACGGTAGGTGTGAGACAGCTTCTGGGTCAGACGTCGTATGAACATCGCTGGTGTTTTGTTCGAGGGCAGACGCGTCCATCATGATGGATGTCGTCAGACTCGCTAAAGGAAAACTCTGGTTGCCCGTTTCCACGCTCTGACTAGGAGGAGAGGTTCTATTGACATTGGGGAACAGGAGCATCACATCGCCGTGTGGATCAAGTGTGTAAGGGTCATTGTCCATCTTGTCAGCGCGTAGAAGCCGGTATGGTCAATGTCATAAGAATCTAAGGAAGTCTCAGGCAAATGGCAAGAAACTTTGCGAGGAACATGGGAATTGATGACAGTGCTAGATTGCAAGGCACCGCTCATCAGAGGGATAAGTATGTGATGTTCAGGGGAAGAAAGGATACCTAAGTATCGTAAGTAAAGAAGTAAAAAAGAGGGAGGTGTTGATAAAATCTCTGTGGGCTCTCAACAAAACACTCGTTGACCTTGGAGTGAGTGAACAGTGAATGTTGTTGACACCCCCCTCTGGTAACATTTCACTCACCTTCATCTTCTCAAATCCAACCTTTCTTCTGGCTTTCAAGCATATTTGATCATTTTCCATCAACACGTTATAACAAGTGCAGGAGCTTCTTCCAGATCAGCCTTCCTCAAGTCGATAGACGCAACTCCCAGTCAGGAGTATTGTAGGTCTGTTGAAACTTACAGTATCAAATCCTCACTTCTCTCCAAGCCGAGACGCTGATCATCAAACACCAACACGGGATTAGCCCCGTTTGACACTCAGTATGACGAGTATGACGAAAGATTATTACGAGCTCGATCCTGACGGAGATGTTATCATCATTTTCACCACGGCTGATCCAGACAATGCGAATCAAGCTTCCGGCCCCAACGCTGTCCCGCACGAGTCCACCAAACCGGCTCAGGTCACTTGTGGCTCGGTCGAAAGCTCCTCGACTTCGGTTGCCGATACAAGAGCGCAGAAACCTGAGCAGGAGGTTGGAAATCAGACGAAAGCCGCCGCAAAAAATGCCAGGGCAGTAAAAATGAGGCTAGTAAAAATGAGGGTCTCGTCAAAACACCTTTCTCTGGCCTCTCCGGTGTTCAAGAAGATGTTACATGGGCCGTGGAAAGAAGCTCAGGGCCTTCGCCTTGGAGACTTGGAAATAGAGATGAACTGGCAGAACATGGACGCCATGCTGATATTGATGAATGCCATCCATGGGAATTGGCCTGATATCCCTCGTGATGTGAGTCTTGAGATGCTAGTGGAGATGGCTACTCTCGTGGACTATTACAACTGCCGGAAGGCTATCGACCATGCATTAGAGCATTGGACTCGAAAATTACTGGGTGGAGCTGCAAATGCATCCTCTGACGACATTGTTCGGTGGATTTGGGTCTCTTGTGTTCTTCGATCCACTCGAGTATTCAAATCTGCAACATGTCGCGCTGTTACGCAGAACAAGGGTCCGATCTCCACTCTCGGTTTGCCCATCCCTCAGCCCTTCATAGGTAAGCACCCCTATGACAAATGAGACACGGCCAGAGCTCTGACAATGATGCAGATGCGATCAACAAGAGACGTGAACACGGCATCAAGACTACACTGTACTCTCTTCGTCGTCTGGTCACCGATCTGCGAGATGGTCGAACGTCATGCTCCTTTGAATGCGACTCCTTCCGACTCGGCGCTCTCACCAAACAACTACACGGGCAAGGGTTCCTAAAGCCGGTAGATAAAGCCAACATCCCTAGCATTAGTCTGGATCAACTGAAGAACTTCCTTCTCAACCTAAAGAGCCCAGCCTGGCGGGAGGTCACTTCAAAACGCCGTCGCGATCAAGATCAGCACCATGGGCATCCTTGCACCCTACAGTCTCTGATAGCGCCTATCTTGTGCAACTTGATCTCCCATATGACAGGGTACGAATACTCAGAATTCAAGCAGCTGTCATAGAAAAGAGTATCATTATCATACCTAACATGATGAGCACTTTTCGCAGGGGGATTCAATGGTCGATCATGATTCGACTACAGGCAGCTCGAGCTAAATCACGAGGTTTTAAGTACTCAAAATGAGATAATCGTTTGACAGTCATGGTCTCATCAAAGCAATGTTCCCCTGAAGGGTTCAGAAGCGGTGGTGATAGAAGGTTTTGCAGGTATCACTGCTTGATGGTCTATCTTGCTTCACCTCACGTAATCATGTTGTTATGAAGTAGTTAGCAATCCTGCAATGTCATCGACTGGTATAAACCGTATAAACCCAGCGGTCCCAGCCCCATCTTAGTCACATGCTACCCAGTAACCAAGTAGTCATGACAACACAGCTCACAAGAACATACCATACAGTGTTCTACGATCTAGGAATGACACGAGTCTTCAACATCTACTGCAACTAAATATGACCGGAGCACACCACATACTTGATCCCGACGGGGATCTAGTTCTTGTCTTCTCAGTCACTAATCGCCAAACGGTTATCTTGAACGGCAACATTGCGCAAGAACCCTCCAAGCAGGTCGCCGCAGCAGATTCTCAAACATCTGGGTCTAGCAATCAGCCGGCGGCGGCAGAACAGATTGGTCAGCAGGAAACATCAAAAGACGCCAATGAAGACCAACAAGTACACGTGAGAGTATCATCCAAACATCTGGCGCTTGCATCTCCCGTATTCCGAAGAATGTTAAGTGGCCCATGGCAGGAAGCTCAGAATCTCGCCGCTGGGGACAATAGTGAGATTGAAACAGAATGCTGGAATGTAGATGCTATGCTGATTCTCATGAATATCATCCATGGACGTGGTCCCAAGGTCCCTCGTGAAATCACTCTGAACACATTGGCTGAGATAGCGGTGCTCGTGGATTATTACGAGTGTAATGAAGCTGTGGATGTGATGGCCGAAATATGGATGGACAAATTGCTCAACAGTATGCCGTCTACATATTGCAAAGATATTGTCTCCTGGATCTTCATCTCTTGGGTCTTTGAACGACGTTCAGCGTTCACCTCAGCAACAAGAATTGCGGCAACCCAGAGCCAACAGCGGATCGACCCAGCCGACCTCCCAATCCCCCAGCGAATTTTGGGTATGCCTTGACGCGCTGATTTGGTCGAAACTGATTCTTCTGACTAACATGTGCCATCAGATAAAATCGAGGAGCTCCGTCGGGATGGCGTCAAGTCTGCTCTTGACATGTGTTACAAGTTGATCACTGACCTACGCGATGGCCGCAAACATTGCTCAGAAGTCTGTGACGCTCTCCGTCTGGGTCTTTTGATCAAGCAGCTTCATGCTGGTGGTCAACTTCCGCCTCTCCCAGCGGACTCGATTCCCAACGTCAGCCTTATGCAACTTACAAGTATACTACAAAAAACCTCAACTGTGCGTAACTGTGATGGTTCAGCAGTAGAAACATATAAGGTCGACCCAATGTACAGCAATCCCACGGCGGAACGTCATGTACATTCGTGGCATGGATGCCGTCTGGACCTCCTCATTCAGCCAATTCTTCGGGACGTCCAGAACCGTTTGCATGGCTTTGAACTCGGCGCATTCAAGGATCAATTGAGAGCTTCGGGTAGCGCTCACTCCACGGTCTCTTCTGCTGAGACCTCTTCTGGTCAGGCATGTGCTGGTCAGGTCCGTTGGGCCCCTGTCAAAATCTCCTACGAGTCGAGCGACTCGGATTTTTAATGAACTTTGATCATGCCTCGCATAGACGCAGTGATTTGAGGCTAAGCAACGGCAGGAATGGCAGCAAGTGATAGGAACTATGTTGCTTTGTGCAAACAGATCTGCTTTAGGATTTCCAATTCTTACTGTTCCGTGCAGGAACAGAAAGACCTAATTGCACCAAGAAGATCTCATTAGCTTCTGAGTGTTGATGTTTGGTGGGATCGCGCCTTTGGGAACGGAGCATAGTCCTTCATATATCCCATGATGCATCATTGCCAAGCTGTGTACGGATATGGCAGGTGGTGAAGAAGGTCATGGCCCGGTTCTCTGGATCTAGAGTCTATGCGACATCTAGAAGAACCTCACTGTATGGGACGAACTTTGGACGCACAAAATCCCACCACATGGGAGAGCAGATGCCCTCCTTGACAGACTGAGGCAAGTCTAGACAATCCTTCTTTTGAGTTAGATATGCCACATTGCTGACTTGCGAAGTCAAGTCAAATGGCCACTTAGGTGATGCAGAATGTAAATCTATAATTATTCTATCGTATCGAAACAAAGGGTATCTCAGCGCTAGAACATATCAGCCACGCCGCTCTTCTTCTCATCCTCGCGTCTTTCATCGGTGACCCGCCACCACCACTCATGGGTAGGGTCCAGACTCTCCGACCGCCGTTTCCCCGTCCCCTGGGCCTCCACAGCGCCGTCAATTTCATCCCACGGCTTCGGGCTGAGAATATAGTGAACAACTTTGACCTTATCGTCCCGCCAGACTGTGTCATGGACCCCCTTGCGCCGTAATGTCTTGAGCGCATTATATATGTACGGTATGCCGACCCAGCGGCCGCGGAAGACATCGGAGAGAAGATCTTGGTCAGGGAAGGTATAGTTCAGTGTTGCAGGAGAGTTGAGCTGGTCGATGATCCTATCATAAACTCCTTTCGAAGGATTGATGACGAGGAGGCCCGAGTTGCAGAGTCCAAGTCCACAGTCTGGTGGCGCTCCGATTATCTGGGCCTTGTCGGGGTTGGCATGATGTGACGTAAACGCGCAGTTGGCCGGAATCCTGCACCAGTGTTCTGTCAGTCGCGGCCCCAATCATTGATTGAACATCTTGAGCCAAATGGACATACCAATCCTTCGGATAATGAGGTTTCTTCAACGGGTTGCAGACACAGGCATGACTAGCCGCAAACACCCGGTTCCCCCTCCCCCCCAACTCCGGCGCATCCAGCTCCAAATCCATCAATTCATCCATGTTCTGCCTGACCAGCATGTCGCTGTCCAGTAGCACCACGCGTTCGTACTCCACCAGCGAGAACGCGGTCAGTTTCGTCCACGTATCATAAAATCGAGGGTCATTAGCATATTCTTTCGGGAGGGTCGGCAGGAGATGCGGGACGCGCTGCTTCGGCAGTCCGCGGGCGTTAACGGCGGCATGTCCTTCAGCTGGAAATGAGTCCGTGTAGAGGACGACGAGCGGATACTTGGAGCCGGCTTTTCGTAGCGAGTACTCGAGGGTGAAGAGGCCCGGGAGGTAGTTTGTGTTTGTGATCAGGGTCGCCCATACTGCGCGGAATAAGCCGGTTATCTTAGCAATGGACGGATAGCACGCTTTGCCCTGGGCATACCTTTTGTTGCGGCAATGGTGCGACTGGCACCATTGCTGAAGCGCATAGTGTAACAATGTCTGCACTCTGCAGAGGCAGAACGCAAGGGTAAGTGACGTACAAGATCAGGAGTGTGGCGATAATGATTTATCAATCGCATAAGCTGGCGGGTAGTCGGAGCGGAACAACCCGAGGAGGGGTCTGGGTCCGAGTCTGATTGATAACACCATTCTGGAACTCGGTTGCGCGACTGAAGCTAAGATAAGCAAGTGTGCAGTTATCGGCCATATTGGAGAGCCTCACTCGGTGGAATAGCGAGGCTCCTCATTGCGAGAGCTTTACGATTACAAGAGTAGTAGGTATTAGGGAGTTCAGCTCTACGTCTGGCTAAAGACTTTACTGCTGAAGGTTTTAACATTCTTTCTGTACTATTAGAGGCTCATAGGGAAGGAATGTATTAAAGATTAGATCTAGAAAAAGCAACGAGATGAAGTATACATTCTTAGATGCAGCTGCTGACAAATGCCCGAACAAGATGGTGTTTTTGACTACTCCTGAATCCTGCAGGATCTCCCCCAGGTCCAATATATGATCTCGACACCTGAGGCCAACATTCTCCTTCTCGCGGAGTTGATTGTGGCTTTTGTGAGAAAGTAAGCAGATTGTAGAGCATAGTCCGCACAGTCCCGGATCCTCTCTCTCGTGTTTCTGTAGTACATTGCAAATGTTCAGACGCGCTCATTTTGTGGCTCCGAAAATTCTTACGGGACAAGATATCATGTGCAGCCAATGTCACGAAATTCGGAATTTCCACGGCCGTACTGTTTGTTTGCCCAAGCCTCAGCCAGCCTCATCTGCTCCTGGGCGACGCTTTTCTGCTAGTAATTCAAGCCGAGTCTTTCTATGGATGGATATTTATGCCGACGATCTCGATGCATATACACGTGGCCCAGGTATCTTAGCGTCACTAGAGAGGCAAAGAGGACCAAAATGGCGGATTTTCGGAGATTTTCCGCGCATGTCTAATCCCGTATATCCCTTCGACATTCCAGAGTTCCATGAGAAAAGGGATTAGCTCATCTGACTTTCAAACTTAGAAACTAATTATTTTTCTGTCTTTTGCTTTGTGCGCCTCTTTCCTGCTGCAGCTGAAGGCAGTTCTTCACGTCAGTTGTATCTACGGAGCATCGACATTGCCTATACGAGAATTTTAAAATATACTGAAAATAAAGCTCAATTTAAACGCTAGATGTTCTACTAAGATACACCAGGGGACTCCGTTCCACGCATTTCACCTTCAGTCGGCATCCGTCCACTCACTCTATAGGCTTGTCGTTCGTACTGGAGAAGCACCGATGTCAAGGAATGCCTCCCCAGAAAAAGTCTCCAGCTCAGACACAAACGTGTTCCACAGCCGCTCGGAAGTCATGGGTGCACTGCTGTATGGCGCAGCTCCTGTTTCATACACGAGCCTTTCTAACTCCGGGAGTAATGCATCCGCAGCTTGGGCTTCCATCTCCCTCTGGACTCTCCGGCTGATGCCTCCCTGCTCCGTATACCATGCGGAGTCTTCCAGAATAACACCACTTTCATAGAGAGCGCAGAGCTTGGAGTCAATATTTGCCTCCTTCGCTGCTTCCAACGCCATTCGATGACCAATGGCCTGGATGAGTGGAAGCGAGAGCGGGAGGATATTGCGGTTAAAGTCCTCGCTTCGATGCATGCCACCAAATTCGATCAGACGATGCTTCGCCTCCGTCAACAGTGCGGCTTCGTGCCGAGCAACGGGGCTGTTGGGGTCTTTGGGAGACGGGAGCTGATAGCGGCCGATCAAAAGCTCGCTTGCGAGTCCTACATGTGGTTATCATAATTAGCATGAAGTTCAACACTTGAAGACAGCAGGAAACATACGAATGGCAAGAACCCTGATGTCGCCTTCTGCGGTCCCTACTGCTCGGAATTCCAGCTATAGGTAGATCGTCAGCATTCTGCGCGGATAAGGGTTCAGTTCTCCTTACTTCACTTTGAAGGATTTGATTATGTTCATAGTAACCATGCCAGCCGCACCCATCATTCAAAGCTTTGATGCTCTTCTGAAAGTGCTGCAACGCAGCAGCCTTGAAAACAGTCGCGATGGCGTGGCGCACGCGCGGATCAACCTTTCTGTTTCGGAAAATGGTCGCAGCTTGGACGAGGAATGCCTGAAGCACATGGTACTGCGCGATTGCGTGGAGGATGGGTAGGTGCTGGGTGCGGAACTTTACGACGGCCATTGGATTTCCGTCGTGGCCTGTCACCCTCCGTCGCAGACTGAATTGGGCCGCATTATACACTGCAAGTTTGAGGGCAGGGATGGAAGCACCAGACAGAAACAACGTCCCGGCTGAGACGCGGTGGATCGTGGAGAAGAAGTGATCCCGTTCATTACGTGGTTTTTCAAGGCTCCCCAGCAGAGCAGATTTGGGCAGCACGACCCGGTTGAAGAGGGTGAGAGCGTGGTCGATAGGATGAGCGCCAGCGCGAGGAGGGAGGACCCTTGGTCCACAAAGTCAGCATAATCGTGCGCAGGGAACAAGATCAAAAACTCACTTGGCAACGACGCCTTTGCACATCTCGCGGCCATCTCCCAACGGAACTAGGAATGGCCGGACGCCATAGTTCTCGCCGTCCACGATCAGTCGGGCGATGACAACGGCAACAACGGGAAGTCCGCTTCTTGGTGTCGTCGGTGGCATGCACCTGTGTTTTAAGTTAGCATTGTATTTGGACGGGGAATGATTTACTAACTTTGCAGCGGCCCAGGAAGGGCTGTGAAGCTCGAAGCCACCGTCTGGCAGGAGTGTCGCGGTGGTTTCTAAGTTTCGCGCGTCTAACCCATGGCCGACCTCGGTGAGCATAAACTGCGCTCTGAGGCGTTCCTTCGAGTCAGCCTGACTAGCTAGTGAGCGGGTATGTTCCATGAGGGCGGTACTAACGAAATATCAAAGCTCAACGCGCGCTGGAGGATCCACTGAAGGTCTGGCCGGCTAGCTGCAAATGGGGCCACAGTGCCGACGAACAGATTATACTGAATACTAATCAATGTCAAAGCTCCACCGTCCACTGCGGCGATTGGGTCCGTCTGCAGCTTCCAGAACTTCGGACTGAGAGTTAAGATGTCTTCCACCGTCAAGCCTAGTCTTGTTTAGCTGGTATTAGGTGTTGTGTAGAGAGATCAGGGCGTACCATATACGTCGCAAATATTCTTCGCCCTCTCGTATGTGAGCCTGGTGCGCTCTTCCAGGGTCAGAACACGTTCTTGTAATTTGAACAAAGGCGATTGAGCCAGCTCCAGAGTAGGTGAGGGTGACTGCCACACCCAGTCATAGAGGGACTGGTCCGGCTGATCCGGTTGGCCCGCATCGAATACTTTTGGTTCTGGAGGCAGCATATTATGATCTGGTCTGCGCGCTGTAGAGATTTGATAATTGTGCAATCCCATAGTCCCCTCCCTGCAAGCAGCGGATATTTATATCTGAGCAGTGGTTGCGCAAACTTCCTCATCGTCCATAATAGAAACTCTCTCAGTTGTTGCAAAATATAGTGAAGACAAGGTTGTGGAGGCCGATTGGTTTTCCATGCACGACGCCAGACCCGCCGCAAACATGTTTGTGGCTGGCGGAGGTTGTACGGACTTCGCCGCACTTCAGACAATTACACGAAGCGAAGATAAACGAAGAGCTGAAATTCAGCTGTATGCGATATGGTATGGGTGCATGTAGGGCATGAACCTGACACATAGTCGGGCTCAGCTTTTACCGTACACTAATGTAGTGTTCAGCTCGAGAGGCCAAGATCGTGCCTATCATAAAGGACTGTTCGCCCAGAACAAGTCAGCAGTTATCATCGCTCTCAATCACAGTCAACATGTTCGTGGCTGCAGTACTTGGTATGATGGTGGCCCATTGGGCTGCCGTTATCATCAGTGTCGCACTCTGTTATGTCAATATTCCCTCCCAATCAAGTTGATAAAATCTAACGCCTTGTAGCTCCTCAGCTCAGCCATTTACAACTTGTACTTTAGCCCATTGGCGAAGCATCCCGGCCCGTTCCTCGCAAGAGTCTCTGCCTTTCCAGATTTCTACTGGTCTCTAACCGGAGACCGACATATGTGGATTGCCCGCAATCATGAGATCTATGGTGATGTGGTCCGCTTTCGCCCCGACGGCCTCCTCTTCAGAACTCCCCAGGCTCACCGGGATATCTTCAACCACAAAGCCAACGTCAAGCGCGCCAAGTTCTACGACATGTTGACGCGGAACAAACATGACACGAGCACCATCACCGGGACCGACCCAACCCTCCATGCGCAGAAAAGGCGGGTTCTAAATACTGTCTTCTCAGAGAAGTCGCTTCGTTCAATGGAGCCATTCCTGGTTCAGCATGTGACACGCTGGTGTGAGCTCCTCATTGACGGGGATGGTACGGATTGGTCAACTCCACGGAAAATGTCTGATGCATGCGACTATCTGGTCTTGGATGTACTCTGTGACCTCTGCTTCGGGCAGTCTGTCGATACCAAGGAGCCTGGGGATAATGCATATCGTAACATTCCTCATGCGATTGGCTCGTTTCTGGACGTTCTTTACCCGGTACGCTTCCCATCGTATATGCACACAAGCTCGAACTATAACTGACTACCCTGAAGCTTGGTCATTCTCCATGGCTGGATCTTATCGTCTGGCTAAAGCCAAGAGGCCTCGATTGGGTGTTTGGAGCCCTGACTCCTCCGCACATTCAATTTCTCTATGACTTTGTGAAGCAGTCGCTAGCGCAACGTCTCAAGACCGAGAAAGAAACCCCATCGACGGGACAGCAAGGCCGAGGGGACATGCTTCACTATCTGATACATGCAAAAGACCCAGCAACCGGTCGCGTGGGCTACACTCCAGAAGCGCTGGAAGCCGAGGCGCTAATGCTGACAATCGCGGGCTCCGATACCACTTCCGTGATCATGGCCGGGTTCTTTTTCTATATTGTACGGACGCCTCGTGCTTACCGGAAGCTCGTTAATGAGATAAGATCTAC